GAGTGAGGGTGACCTAAAATGCCGACCTCTGTTTTCGAGATACTTGCCTCTAGCGTGGTCACCCGAAAGGTTTTAATTCAAAGAGTTCATCCCCGACAGGTAAACCGATACAAAAGCTCTCAAGATCTATATTATGTTATCAGAGTTTAGTAAAAACGATAACTCTACAAACAATATAAACACTCCCTCCCCGCCGTTTTACATCGAGGAACCGCCCCCCCTAAAATGGAGGTCTGGATCCGCCCCTGGTCGTTTGCATGGGCACCGACAGGACCTTCTTTCTAACATTTGTCACACATTCAGTTTTAATATCCAGCCACTAAACTACCAGTATATACCATGGAAAAGTTCAAAATATTTTCACAATTCGGACACTCAAAAAAAACTTCAAATTAATTAATCAGATAGCATGAATGATGTGAAATGACCGAAATCTGATATTCCTCCACCCGAGTAAGTTACCAAGCTTTCACCTAATTACGAAAGATAAAGGCAATGTCACTGATGGGTCCGGCTACCAGAGGGCCAGTACTTCTGAGGACTTTCCTGCGAGCTTGGATGCAAGCAAGTCAATCGTTCAGCTCGATCACTAGGTAGGTACGACTTACCTACCGATCTCAACAAGCTGAAAGCCAACCTGAAGGTTCCTGCTCCATGGAATCGCCATGCACTTTGTTATTTCTCAGGATTCATCATCTATAGCATGCAAGCTGCCTGCCTCAAATGTTTCAGCTATTGGCTCTATTCAACCACCTGCTCCAGAAAAATGTGAAATAGAGGTGTGTATTAAAGGAAGACGACGGCTTTAACAAGGCAAAGCAGACACTGCTGCGTCAGGCTCCTGGTGTATCGCGACCACACTGAGGAACTGATCCTGAATGTGCCACACCTCCAGAGGCAGTTGAACCAGAGTCGTCACACAACATCCACGGAGTCAAAAGGCCCATAGGAGGTTAACCTTCTTCCAAGAATTCCATGACAGACGCATGGGTATCAACGCAATGAGGTAAGGCAATGGTTGATGCCGTACAACCTTGAACAATATGCCAACAGGCTGCATATCAATGCCACCAGAAGCAGAGCCACAAGCTTGGCCAGAACCCACGGCTCCATGGACAAGAATTTACATGGACTGCACTGCACCTATCGAAGGTAAAATGGTGCTAATTGTGGTAAACAGTTACCAAGATTGAAAGAAACCACTGGCATCAGCAGCCAGCCAACTCCACTGCAACAGTCGAATATCTGAGGAACACGGTCGCCTGGTAAGGACTTCCTGTTTGCTTGGTGTCCAATAATGGAACACCATTCCCCGGCACGCTGTTTACCGACTTCATTACTCAGAATGAAATTGGCCACCTAAGGACTGCACCTAACTATCCACAGTCAAACAGACTTCCCGAGAGAGCTGTCAGAACGATCAAGGACAGTCTAAAGAAACTCTCGGGTGGTTCTTTGGCCGCATACTTGCCAAGATGGCTCCTTGTGTACCGTCGCACACCGCCTACCACAGGAGGACAATCTCCAACAGAGCTCGTGTTCAACTTTTGTCCTAGAGTTTGCTGCATGGACCTCATCACTGAGACCCAGGAGCCAAAGGTAGACCTGGAAAGACCTAGCAACCTTAAAGAAAGCAGCCCTGTTTTCGAAAGAAACATGGGAGCTGTAGAACAATAAGGACCAAGATCATCTTCCAGGTTGTCAAAAACTGCATGACTTTGGTAAGATCCACCATGGCACAATGAAGCACCACCTGGGCCAGTTGTGCCCCAGACGCTTTAACTCAACTCATTTTTAGTCAGATGATGAAATTACCACTGGGCACTAACTTGATTGGCAGTTAACAAGTGAAAAAACCAGGCTATGGACCAGGAACTGAGCAGGCATTTTAAGCAGTGCAAGGATGCCCCACTCAGGCACGGACAACACCAACCAAGATGAACCTTTAGCTTGTGTGGCAAAGTGTCGGATCAGGCCGCCACCAGGGGTCAGTGTTTCTGGGGGCTTCCCTGTGCAACAGCCATGGGCTTTCTTTCTTTTCCCACACTTTCCAGTGACCATGTAACAAACATGTATGACACGGCCATGTCAATTATTCCCTAATAAACAAATAGGTATGATCCTTGCACTCCATGGATAAAGCAGCCACCAACAATTTCAACATTGGTCTGTATGGAGTCAAAAAACAAGGAAATAAAGGAACTTCTGACACACAACTATTCTTGATGCATGCACACAATAGACTGCTTCCATGAAGCCCTGCATGCAACACGGCGCGCGTTGCACTCTGGGAACTAGTTGGCCAGGGAGGAGAGTGGCATGGTTTCGGTTTCGATCGACATGTCGACCAGAGATTACACACAGAGCGTGGACTATAAACGGCCATTATCTCATGTTTTCTGGTCCCGAGAGCGTCATTTGCAGGGTGCTGGAACGAAATGTTTTTCGTTCCGTTTTCATTTTCGTTCCCTACAAAAAAGTTCCGTTCCGTTTTCGCTCCGGAACGAAAAAATAATGCTCCGTAACGGTTCGTAACGGTTTCTTTCTATGGAAAAAAAAAAACAATCTCAGCAACAATTAAAAGGAACGTAACGTTTATTTTTACACAAAAATAGATAATTCAGGCGCTCTAGAGGAATCCGCGGAAACGACATTGCTTCCGAGATCATGTTCATTTCCTTGAGAATGAGATCATGATCAATAAGGCACCGAGCATGATCTCAGAAGCAGCACGTCATCAAGTGTGCTCGGTGAAAGGCAAGACCTCTGGTCCGATAAAATAAATTTCAGCGCCGAGAAGGCCCTGAAGGCCCATAGGGATGAAGAAGTACACTTTTGCAACAGAGTCTCAGACTGCCGTATCCGTAGAAAAACAAAAGATGGACTTCTACAACGCCGGGTCACAAGCTTCCCGCGCTTGCCGTGATCTGTTGTCTGTCTGTGTCGTCCGAAGAAAGCATGGAGGGAGAGGGCGCAAGAGCCAAGGAGAGCATTGCGAGCGTGTGGAGGCGTCGCGCCACCGCGCTCTCATTGGTGGGAAGCAATGGCGCCTTGCGTCATGTTTTTTGTTTCTCGTTGTATTTTTTGTCTTTGTTTTTGCTATGCTTGTTCGCCCGGAGTTTAGACGCGGGGGCGATGGCTTGCTTGTCTTCTCTTTAATTATGGTACAAACCAACGGCTGTCTCTTCGCTGCGTGAAACGAATTACTGAAATACCTGATATTTTCCCTTGAACCAAAAACCGATAAGAAATTTTTTCGGTTTCACTCCGGAACAAAATAATAAATAACGTTTCGATTACGTTTCCGTTCCGCCAAAAAATATTGTTTTTTTCGTTTTTCGTTTTGTTCCGATACCCTGGTCATTTGTGGTCTATAAACTAACCTAAATGGCCAGACCTCGAAGCTTTAGCACAAGCTCGAGACGTATATAGCTTCTCTTAACACATGCTTGTTCTATTTTTGTACTTGAGCCTTTTTGTTAGCGTTTCGAGGTATCTGGACGAGCCAGTGCTGGGAATCTCGACGCTGCGAAGCTCGGGGATCTTGCTTATGTACGAATCAACAGGCTGTAGCAACCAATAAGTATGCATACATCAAGCTCGCGCCTTTACATTATATGTTGTTGATCAGGAAGTTTGTTTGTTTCATGCGTCCATAGAAGAAATATTACTTTTTGCAATTACTGTTTTCTTAATACGCCTGTGTACGCAAAGTAAAACTCGGAGGTGCCATTGAAAAGCTCAATTATAACACAGTTCTTATCTCTTATCTGTACTGACCCGCAGCACTGCACGAAGCGAAGTCCCCACCCACTTGCATTTTACTAATATCCAACATCGCGTATGCACGTAAAGTTATCCTGCAATCGTATAGGCACATTCGCGCATACAAACCATTTTAAGAAAGCAAAAGTCGAGCACTTGTGTGAAAAATGTTGCACCATTCGCCAGAAGTACGCCGGACGGGTATGAACCCCTATGCGGTGCGCCAAACAAACGAAATTATTCAAAGTGCATTTGACGGTTGCTAATGGCCATAATATTTGTCATGTGTTAGCTTTCTTCCTGCCTGAGTATGCCGCGATAATTTCGGACACACCGTTCAGGCACAGATCTTGAGCGTCAGTAAAAGCTCGTCCAAAAAGGCTTAGCGAGGAGTAGGGGACGCTTGTTAGGGCCTCCGTCGTAGCTAGCCCATCTCCGCGTTTGCGAAAACTTAATCGTCTATCAGCATAAAATTTGAGTGGGAGATATATGATGACACGAGGAAGACATCATAGTAACTTTGATGCAGTAGTGAGGTCGAATTTATTGCGTTTCCTTAGAAGTTCACGCGTCAACGCTGGGCTCAACTTTGATACTCCTGTGAGGATGCGGCTTGCTTTTCGCCCAATGAAGTAACAAGAAGCGGACATTTGGCAAACAAAATATGTGTAATGCTCCAGGTGACCGAATTTCACTTGTAGTTCACTGGTACTAGACGGGATTATTGAAATTGAACTCAAAGATGATGTGACTAAGCCACGTCCTACTACGTTTGCATACGCACTCAAATATCCGGTGTTTCGGGAACGAAAAAAAGTGCCTCGGCCTTCGTTTTGTATCGCTCGAGAATGAGTATATTGTACATTCGTAAAAAAGTCAGATAATCGAAACTGCAAGCAGTGCGTTCGGTCGCGGCGTGATAGCATGAGGTGAATCTGCCTAGTCGAAACCGAAACTGAGTGGCCAACTAGTTCCCAGAATGCACTGCATGGTATTTCGCCGCAATGGGGCGCGTCGGTTTTGGAAGAAGTCCATTGGCCAGCAGTCTCCTTGCAACATCCTGGACACAGCAACAAAACCCAGCCCTTGCACCTGTTACACTGAGTACGAGCGTCTGACAAAAACTAACTCACGGAAAGGAAATGGCGGCAGTTAGGTCTACTGCAAACGAACTAACACACAGATACCTGACAATAATTAAGTCTGCAACTACAATGAAATAAAATGAGACAGACCCAAAAGCTGCAACCGATGACCATGGAGGGGACATGGGTCTCGTGCCTCTGCAAGAAAAAACACAGAAACTGCAAAATTAAAATAGGCAAGTGGATAAACCAAAAGGGTCGGAGGCAAAGCATAGGCTCCCAGAAGCGTAAAGGTGCTGCACGGTGAAGACTCACATGGAAAGCTCATGAAGTAAAGGGATGGCTTGCAAATGTCTTAAGCAAGTGCAGAAGTGAAAAACTTGAGGATACAGAGAGAGTGCATATTTCGAGGTGTGCGAATGACACGAGGAAAGTGAACAGTGTCACGATCTTTCTGGAACGTGGACGAAGGGGGCCGAAGCACCCGCCGAGAAGAGACGACACGCAGCCTGGTTGAGGGTGGACGATGACTGACCCGAGCAGTGTGTGCTCGACGGCGTTTATTGGGGCGCGATGAACAATGTTGCCCGCCGAGGCTGGCGGCCACAGGCGGGCGGACCGGAGGGGGGCGCTACATACTTGTCACATCCCTCCCCCCCAGTTTGTTTCTCAAAACAAAATATATAAAAAAAACACACGGCCGACACCAACTCGGCGTCTGCTCATACCAAGTCCTGGCTGGTCGACGGCGAAGATCACCCAGGCGAGTAGCGGTCAGGTGGCCTTCGCTGCCGCGTACTCCGCCTGGGCACTGGAGTCGATGGGCCAGGTGGGGCAACGCCGGGCGCTGCCTGTACCGGTCGCGCTCCACCCGGTGGAGCTGCAGGGACCGGATAAGGGATTGGCACCGGTCCAACTGGTGCCTGAGGAGTGGCGACGCTTGTCGCCTCCGGGGTGGATGGCGCTCCGCTGGCCGCGACTGGTGCTGTTGGGCCCCCTGCAGGCTGGTCCTCTGAAGCGACGACCGAGGGTGGAAGCCAGGTCCCGAGGCGAGGCCTGACATGGTCGGCGTGCCGGTGCCAGGTGGTCCCGTCGGGCATGCGGACGAGCAGCGATGAGGCACTCGCTGGTGAAACCACACGCCCGGCAGACCAGGGTGGGCCAGGACGGAAGTTCCTGGCGTACACCGACGCTCCCGGCTCCGGCAAAGGCCCGGGACGGCACCCTCGGTCAGCACCCAGCTTCTGCTTCAGCTGCTTCAGGAGCGCAGTGGACCGGAGGTCTGGATGCAAGACGTCCAGGGGGGTCTTGACCATCCGGCCCAGCAGAAGCTCGCAGGGGGCACGGCCAGTGACCTCATGCGGTGTGGTCCGGTACTGAAACAGTACCCGGGCCACCTGAGTACGGAAATCCCCGGGCTGGCTCTTCTTGAGCTTGTCCTTGATGGTCTGGACCACTCGCTCGGCCGCACCATTGGAAGCGGGGTGGTACGGCGGAACCAGCATCCGGCGGATTCCATTCCTCTGCAGCCAGTCCAGGTACTCGGCGCTGGCGAAAGCGGGACCATTATCAGACACGATAATGTCCGGCAATCCCTGCGCCGCGAAGACCTGCCGCAGAGCCGCAATGGTCGCGCTTGCCGAGGGACTGGAGACTGGCAGTGCCTCCACCCACTTTGAGAAGGCGTCCACTACCACCAGGAAGTAGTGGCCCTTGAAGGGTCCCGCATAGTCCACGTGCAAGCGGGACCACGGCCTCTGTGGGAACGGCCAGGGGGTGATTTCCACGTGGCGCGAGGCTCGCTGGTTCTCCTGGCAGACCTGGCAGCCTTGCACCTGGTGCACGATGTCCTGGTCCAAGCCAGGCCACCAAACGTGCGACCGGGCCACCATCTTGGTCTTTTCGATGCCAGGATGCCCCGCGTGCAGCAGCTGCAGCACCTTGGCCCGCAGACTTTGTGGAATCACCACCCTGGTGACAGGGGAAGAATGACAGGGGAAAAGACAAGCTAACATGGGCAGGAAGTCTCTGCATAGGCTTTCATGCAAGACACCAGGAAGGAAAGTGTAGGCTACAAACATCCACATGAAGCAAAAAGGGATGAGTGAAACATAAGCAGTGCACAGCACAAGAAGGAGGACAAGAAAAAAAAAAAAAAACATGATACAGAAGAGCAAGTTTGCATGACAGCGAAAGCTTCACATAGGCCTACACGCAGAGCAGAAGAAAAAGTGCTCCCCACAAAGAACCAAAGCAAGCGTAAAAAAATTCAGAGGCTTCATGCAGCCATATGCACAGAGCACAATAAAAAGAAAAGCTTCCCACAAACATCTGAAGCAAGCGTAAAAGTAAAAGAATATTCTGGGACTTCACTCAGGCTTACATGCAGAGCATAAGAAAAAGCAAGCTTCCCACAAAGAGCTGAAGAAAGTGTGAAAAAAATTTAGATGCTTCACGCAAACTTACACGCAGAGCACAAGAAAAAGAAAGGATTCCCACAAACATCTGAAGCAAGCATGAAAAAAATCCAGAGGCTTCATGCAGGCTTGCACGTAGAGCATAAGAAAAAGAGCTTCCCACAAACATCTCTAGTAAGCGTAAAAAAAATTCAGAGGCCTCACACAGGTTTACAGGCAGAGCCTAAGAAAAAAAGCGTTCCACAAAGACCCATAGCAAGCATAAAAAAATTCAGAGGCCTCAGGCAGAGCACAAGAAAATGGGCTTCTCACAGACCCGTAGCAAGCATAAAAAAATTCAGATGCTTACAAGCACAGCACAAGAAACTTCCCACAAACATCTGTAGCAAGCATAAAAAAAAATGCAGAGGCTTCACGTAGGCTTACATGGAGATCACAAGAAAAAGGGCCTCGCAGAAACAACCGTTGCAAGAGTAAAAAAAATTCAGAAGTGCCTCGGTAAACAAGGAACGCAAAAAATGAAAGCTTCTCTTAACACAAAGAAGAAAGCAAAGTAAAAAAAAATGAGAACGGGACAACAGTTTCATCAACTAAGGCAATCTAAAACACTAATTAGTTCTCCGAGGTCCTGCCATCGACTGCCGAAGTCCCTGCGTTCAGCTGCCCCAGCCGCCAACTCGCGACTTTTTTCCCGCAGGAACAGTTGCAGCCGTGCATGGCAGGATCGCCTGATGAGCTTCATTTTGATTTCATGGCAGTCGGGCAGCTGAACACATTGGCTCTCTGCAACCATCCTCGCCGATAGGCCGTCCAGGATGCCCCGTGCATGCATCAAATCCGCAATGAGGCTGCGAAAGACACTTTCACAAATTGTGAAGAGGGCGCGTGCAGCTTCAGAGGGGCAGGTCAGAGCGTCAGGGACATAACTCTTTAGCCTGAGGAGGCTATTTGCAGGTGCCATGGAGACTTGAACAGCTGCAGCACACGTGTCACATGTAGCATTATTTTTTACAACTCTTCGTACCACATACCCGCTTAATAGCCAAAGCTATTCTCCTCAGGTTGTGCCATGGTGAGTTCTACCTCCTCAAGAAAAATGTCGGTGGGCACAGCAGGTTGTACATCCAAGTCTGCGAGGTCAGCCAGGTAAAAGGAGGCATCGTCCAGTTCGTAGGACCCTGCCTTGGACGCCTTCAGGTACTGCGAGTGTGTGATGATTTTCAAGGTCATCTTAAACTCCAAGAAGTTGGGATAGGGTTGCCCTGTCGCACTACCGAAAACAAGTCTTCATGGCAGTCCTGCGTGAATCTGGATGTGAGCACAAATGAAAAAGAATGTCTCTCAATGAGACTTTGCTGCAGGTCCAGAATGGACTTGGGAGAGAGGATTACCCCCGCCTGCACTGGCTTGAACGCCCCATCCCCAATAGTGAGGTGGAGAAAAAGATCCTTAAATTTGACCAGAAAGTCAAGGGTGTTCTTGTAGCAGGCCTCATTTTGCCTGCTGATCGCAAGGACTGGGTGCCTGCTGCTCATAAGATCAAACCATTTGTTGACCTGTTCCAAAAACCAAGCCGTGGTGAGGAAGTTGGTGCTCCAGCCATGATTCTCCACCAGGAAGCGCAGGGCAGTGGCCGTGGAGTGACTGAGGACCCGTAGGGCAGTGCTCACCTACAAACACAGAACTGCTTTAGATCATCAAGTGTATGCAATGTTTGGTAAACTGGACTGAAGGAATCAATGATTTGAAACTTCCCCCTCAGTCAATAAAAGAACAGCATGGGCACTAAACGAAGAAAAGGCTGCTAACTTCCATTCCTGTTGTCCATACGAATGGTTTTTGCTGGTTTTTTACGAGTTTTTGCCACTCTCTTAAAGTTGGCAGTTCCACTTCATGAGCAAAGGTGATGAATGCCAGCACTGAAGTAAAGTATGGTTACTTTGGTAGCTGTGCGTTGCTAAAAGTGTCACCGACTCCGATTTGTGAACCACTGACTGATTTTGTTGAAAACACTTTAAGGGAAGCTAAAGAGGTTCTCCAAAAAAAATGAGTTAGAGGTAAATTCTTCCGTATTTGTATCCTGCAAATTTGAATATGCACTATTTGCTCAAGAAGTATCACCCAACGCAAAGAAATATTTAAAAAATTCACTCGGCATGATGTCACGTCAAGAACTTTCACCTGGCCACCGAAGCTCAAGCACCATCTCTCATGCAGTGTTCCGGCACATATGACCAGCCTTGCCCAATGCAGCGCTTTTTTTATTCTTGTGAAATGGTGCGTCATCTGCTACAGACGCCTAGTTCCCGCTACAATCTTTCACGCCTGACCAACATCCGCTAAATCTTTTATGAAAGTTTATAGGTGTACTAACGTCAAAACAAACAGGCGAGCGAAAATCGTGAGCATGAGGTGAATCGCACACAATTTGTCGACCACTCAAATAAGCTTGCAATAGCTGCAGAGATTCCGAGGATCCTTGTTGCGACGCTGCTGTCTCTCAGAAATTTCCTCCTAGCTTCTTACACCTCGGGAGGGCGGGGTTTCAGCGCTATGGTCAAAATGCTTTGATGGCTACTCCGGGCCTCAAATTGACAAATAATTTTAATATTCGTGATACTGGAGGCCATATGAAGATGATGCAAGTGTTTTTTAAAGGTACAAAACCGCTTTAGTTTCCCCTTAAGCAGGCACGTGCGAATAACGAATTTTATGTTTCAAGCGAATAAGAAGCTAATAGTGACTTGGGTCGAATAATTTCGAATCGCATATTGAATACTTGCGGTGCCTTTCTGATACTGCCATTGCGCTCAGCTTCCGCCATCTTGACAGTGTTGATGTCAAGATCGCGGAAGGTAGCTTAGCTTAATGGAAGCTAACCTAAGTTAGCTTCCAGTCGTGTGTAACTAGCTTAGCTAGCTACAAACAAGCTAAGCTACATGCTAACTTAGCTTAGCACTCTTACCTTAGTACACATTTTTCAAAACATTATAGTATTTGAGTGATGGATGAGTGTGAACGAGTATGAATAAAAAGTCATTTTAGATATGATATAAAGACTATCATACCTAAAACACCTAATATCAAGGGGCACACAGTAATCCACTGAAATGAGGTTAGACAAGAGTAATTTTGAGTATGTTTTGTTCACGTTCTCAAGGATGTGCGTAAATTCTGCAGTTGTTAATCGAAGCAACAAATGAAGCTTGTCATTTAGTTCTCCTTGTCAACAGCATTTTTCCTGTAGAGATAGCTTTCTAGTGCACAAACTCAGCATGTGAGCAACGATTATACTTTGTAAAGGAAAATCTAGCTGGTTTCATTTAGGTTATTCTCAAGTATCTGCCTACCCACTGCCAAGGCTCAGTTAATTCTGATCTAAATTACTGAATGACTCTCGCTTCAAATAAATCAAGCCCTACATAGAGATTGTAAGTAGATGAGAGATTTGTTAGTCCTCTTGCTATACCCAAATATTTGTTTTAAATCTTAGACTAAAGAAATGATGAGCAATGATGCACACTGCTTGACGGGACCTCAATTGTAGAGTAACACATATTCATGGTAAAAGCCAGTTTTTTTTTTTTTGGCCTTGAGGTAAGCACTTATATTGACCAGGAACATGAACAATCCTTACGCTACATTACAATGTTTTCCTGAATTCGTCGCACACGCGCGTGACCTCTTCTTCTCTGGAGGTGTGCCTTCCACTCAATGCACAATCGCAGTGCCTGCGAAATACGCACGATCACGGTGTTTTCTCTGTAAGTGTCGCTTCTGCACAGCACACCGGTGCTCGTTAAGAAGCGCACTCAACTGCGCTAACTCGCTGCAATCGCGACTTTGCCAGCACTTAGAAACTGTGCACATCACCGAACGAACGGCATGCAGCCAACTCATCGCGAGTGCCAAAGGCAACTGATAAGAGCGCTAGAGCGATCTCGACATCACAGGACACAGGACACACACGATTGGTAGATGAGATGATGACGTTTTATTCTAGTAAGGCCGCGCCAATCACGGGGTGCAGATTAGACCTACCTTCCACTACATTAATGGGACGCTTAGTACCTGGGAATGGTGACTAGAATGACGTCACGTGAGAACTGTGTATAGCCATAGGCTGGGGATGGCAACATGTGCAGCATGTGCTGAGCTGTAAACAATGTTTAATTTTGGCCATTCGTGTGCAGAGATTAGTCATGAGCTGCCCAAATGTTTGCCGAGGCACTTATTGTCACAAACCCAAGTCAAGTGTTCATGCAGTGCTCGTATGGAATCCATAAGCCTCATTCGACCATCATTACCACAGGGTGCTCTCCTAGACACCGTCAGCATAATTACCTCCATGGTCGCATCAGCAAGGTTACAAAAATTGGGAGTGAAGGAAACACTCCCCCTCTAAACTTGAATTCACATCTCGACGCGTGCAAGATACTGAGGTCAAACTAGTGCTGTATGCCTGCGATGAGAGAATCATTCCAACACAATATCAATAATCTACCCCTTCATACCACACTGCAACTAAGTGAAAAAGGAACCATGACACCAACTTATCATTTAAAAATAAATTGTGTAAAATACAAAAACACTACAGTTACTAACAAGGATATTATATCTGCAAATAATCAACAGGGAGCTTTGAAGCATTTGAGTAGCCTGACAACGAACTTGCCTTCAAGCCGCCGCCCCAGAGTTCTAGACGACGGCAATGGGAAGCTCCCCTCCAGTAGCAAGTCGTAGCCCAAGCTGCCACATGCAGATCGCATCTGCAGCGACTTCTTCACCGTCTCATTAGACCACTTGGACCCCCTGTTGCTGGATCTCGATAGAGCTGCCAGTTGGTCCGCAATGAAGAACTTGTGTAAGTGAGACCGGAATGTCGCTTCCTTTGTCTTTTGTAAGGCAGCCTGCCTCACCAAGCGATGATTCTCGTTCTCCAGCTGCTTGATCTTCCGGCTCATCTGAAGAAAGACATCTTCAGTGAGCCTAGGTGAAACGGGTGATGGAGAAAGAGGCTGTAGGGTTCGCTCAGAGGTCTTGGCCGCTGGTTGCCACAAACACGGTACAAGAATTGGGTGTTGCCCACCTCATGAGATCACTCCAAGCAGTGCAAGAACCATGACACATACCCAGCTGGTGGAGGCCGCCGACACCAAGGTGCCAAGGGCAGCTGCGCTGGCCTGGCCGCGCTGGTTGTCACTGGTCACCTGCAGCGAAGGGTGCGGTGGTATTGCTACACGGGGGTACGCAGGACCCTGGAAGATGCTTACGAAGCACGCCTCACTGGTGGTGGGGATCGGCTGCGTTAGCAGGCCGCCCTGCAGGGCCGCTCCAGAGGTCCTGGCTGCTGGTTGCTGCAAACACGGTATGAGAATCGGGTGATTCCCACCTCACAAGATCACTTTAAGCCGTGCAAGAACCACATACCCAGCTGGTGGAGTGTGCCGACACCAAGGTGCCGCGGGCAGCTGAGCTGGCCTGGCCGCGCTGGTTGTCACTGGTCACCTGCGGCGAAGAGCGTGGTGGTATTGCTACACGGGGGTATGCAGGACCCTGGAAGATGCTTACGAAGCACGCCCCGCTGGTGGTGGGGAGCGGCTGCGTCAGCAGGCCGATCTGCAGGGTCGCTCCGGAGGTCCTGGCCGCTGGTTGCTGGAAACACGGTACGAGAATCCTCGTTTTGCAGAAATATGGGTTCGAGAATAAATGGATTTGTCGCCCTTTCTCTCTTCATGCTGGCCGAGCGGAGAGGGACGAAGGCTTCTTTGTATTTACCTCGGGGTGAAAGATAATCCTCAAGGGGGACAAAAGTGGTTTTGGGGGAGCTCTATCTAAGTCACTGCGACACAATAAGCCAACGGGACGCAGTGGACGTGCCTGCGGCCAGGGAACTCTCGTCTTTTAGCCACGCACTCTCGAACCACTAATTCTGCAAATGGTCCATTGGGTGCTGCCCACCTCACGAGATCACTCCAAGCCATGCAAGAACCATGACAGATACTTAGCTGGTGAGGCTGTCATAACATTACAAGGCAGCTGAGAGTGATGAATGCCTCATGCATTAACTTAATAGAAGCAACAGAATATGAGTGATTGGGTTTTGACTTACAATTCCATGAGGTGGGGTTTTGTGCTGTGTCAGGCTGCAACACTGAATGATGGTGTCTCATGTACTCTTGCACAAGGACCACTCCGATTTAAAAAAAAAAAAAAAAGGTCTCTGACATGGAACAGAGATGTCAACAGCCTACCAAGTCCACATTATTATAGGTCACCTGTGCCTCTTTCAAATCATATCAGTAAAAACATCTTAACACAAGATAAATTATTGCTTTTAATTCACTCTCATAATCTAGGTAAATACCAAAAGAACAAAAATCTCACTTATACTCGTTACACGCAGTCACTTGACTTTCAGAATGCAGAAACAAGCTCGGAACAGCTGTGGCTTTTAGCCTCCTCCAGCCGTCAGAGCACTTCGTCTGGAACTGGGAGGGCTCGAAGTGGTCCTGCAGCGAAGAACGTTTTGGTAGACGTCAAAACTGTGTATTCAGCCGCTCGCGTCACAGTACAGTTATCCCGCTGACGAGAGGCTCACGCTTTCAAAATACGCGATCTTACAAATCCATCATCGCACGACCGCCACAGGCCTGAACCACTCGTCTTTCTGCGGTGAAGCGAAAGCGCACAGGACGCTTCCACGGCAGTAGAGAATAGATCACAAAATACACGGTTTTGTCACAGTGCACTCGCGTCCACCGTGCTCGCGTCACAATATTAACAATGAACAATACCTCACCTCGCAAAGGTACGTTCTGTCGGGAGGTTTCCACCCCGCGCCACGCTTGATTCCTGAAAGCCACAGTTTCCGTCTCCTCGGGGATTTCGGCAGCTTGAACAAGCGAATTCCCCTGGAAGCTCTGTTCCGGCACTTCAGAGCACAACAACGACCCATTTTTCAAACAAGACCGGAACGGCGGAGCTCCCGCGGCTACACAAACTTTTGTTTACGTTATTTCAACGCACGTGTTCGCGTGCGCATTCGTTTATTCTACCATTAAAGAAGGCTATGACGAAAAGCTCACATGCACCCAGTTTTCAGTCACCGAGCGTTAACTTTTCTAACTCTAGCGACGCTAAAATGAAATTACCGAACCCTGCTTTACTTTTGAGGCTCACGACCACCGCTAGGGGAAGTTTTGCGGCTTGTGATTGGCCACGAGCGGCCTGTCAATCAACTATTCGACCAATAGATTTTCGCCCCATTGATACCAATGAATGGCCAAACTCTCCCAATATACGGCTCTGGAGTAGCGCAATCTAGAACGCCGCCTCTCGGCGACTAGCGGCGAACGCCCGGAGGTTCCAACTGCGGTCAGAAATGCATGGAGAACGTGAGAAAATCGTTGTTTCTTCAGTATTGTGGGAATGTACGGAATGACAATCGTTTTTGACATAATAATGGAACATTTTAGAATAATTTGCGTGAAGTTTTGTGCCCCGCAAGGACCTGACTTTTTTTTTTTAAATTGCTTGAACGGCATCATGCAGCAGACGACACGGCGACGTCACACCATTCACGTGACCCGCTCCGGCCAACCCGAAAAGCCCATCTCCGCTGCGAGCAAAAATCGTCTGCTTCAAACGCCATTGCCTTGGAAATTGCCTTCTCAAGATTTGCACACGCATCCGATATTATTAAAACTTTGATAAAGTGTTTAGTGCTTTACTAACTTTACGACAGACTAGTTTTGAAAAGTGTGAACTCGCCGTTCACTTTTTAATCAGCCGTGTTGTATCGATCTCCATGTATTCTCCCATAGGGCGGGCCGCCTCCTGGAACCCTGAGTACCACGTGACTCGCGCCGAGCCGCTCTGTCGGCCATGTTGTCGGCAAAACACGGGGTTCAAACGATTGCGCTACTCTGCTCCGCAGGAGCTATATAGTGCTCTAGTTCCAACAAGCATCTGTGACGTCACTTTCGTAAAACGCGGTTAAACGTGAGGCTTTCTTACGTGTCCGCTCAAAATATCTTTATTTTAATAATACCTGATCTTTAAAACTGGAACATCGATACCTTATTAAAAACATGAAAAAAAAGTATTTAAATAGACACTGCCCACCATTTGTTGGCATGCCATAAAAAAAGTAACGCTTTTCAAACTGAAACCGAAACTTACATTTCACACCAGATTTTGCATCATATTCTGGGACAGGAGCTCCTGCGACTTGCAAACTAATGTTACGAACGAAACACTAACTACGTTTGGCTTTACCGTTTCTAAGGATACTCAAAGATATTACGCCAGTTTTAAAATTTATTTATGACGACACAAGATGACGCCAGCAGCCGCGAGCACCGGAACAAAATGGCGAAACTGGAAAGGTCGTCGAAGGCGTTGAGGGCGGAGCAGACACGAATAGAATCGTCGGCCGCACGAAATTCAACTTGTCTTCACTTATCAAGGGCGCAACTCGAAATCCGCAGAGGCAGCACGACGGAATAACCTCAAAATTCACTCCAGCACCGAAGAAAAACATCGCACAAGAGCGGTTTATTTCAAGAACACCTAAATATGACTCCGAGATGACCCAAGGGCCGACCTCCAGCCACGCAACGCCTGCTGATCAACAGCATCGGTATGCGCGCGAAAACGTTGACCAAGCTATTAGCCGACCGATGCGGCATGATGCGCCTCCGTCGCTTCAGCCAGCCGCCTTCGCGGCGTTTTGAAGAGTCCGACGACTCATCGACGGATAACAAGAAACCGCCGACGCCGCCGGGCGACGAAGACTGTTGCAAGAGCGGCTGCTCCAACTGCGTTTGGCTCAAGTACGCCGAAGCCCTCGTCGACTACTACAAGGACGGCGGGGTCAAGGCGCAAGAGGCCATCGCCAAGATACCCGACGACATGGTGCGCGAGTTTGTCATGATGGAAATAGCCTCCTGGCTTCGCAACAAGTAGGACCGTCTCTATCAACCGATCGCTCGCAGACGACGACGCTCCTCCCAACGCTCCTTCTGTGCAGGTCTCGGAATGGCCGCTAGGATCGGATGTCGCCACCAGTCAGCCGACCTAGCAGATCTGGAAAGGCGAGAACATGGACATTTGTGGTGAAAGCTTTTAACGCGGCCATGCATAATGTGTGTGAGTACTAATTTATGATAGGTTACCATACTTTTACAACGCCAACAAATCGGTTTCGTGTGTACCCTGCACCGCAGCCTACGAGGGTCGCCAAGACAAGACCTCGTTAGAGGTATTAGTCTGCTAATGAGCCATGCACACATCGAAGAGCCATACTTCATTTCGCTTTGTGGTGCATTGCAGCAGGCATTATGAGCTATCCCAGCCAATCCACTGCTGCGTAAGTATTGCATGATCATGTGCCCTGCACACTGTCGCACCTTTTCCGAAGGTCATGTGACGCTTGCACAACACTGGATTGGCTCTAATAGCCGACAGCATCCACTGCAGTCCATCCTCAGGTGACATAGAGTATAGCTTGTCCAGAGCGCTTAGGCAATAAATCCAACGGTCTCAAGTCGTATTAAGTACAAGATCAAAAATGGTGTGATCTTTGTATTAGTTATTGGACGATGAACTAGCGAGCGAACGACGAAAATTAACCCTGGAGAAGGGGAACAAGGGGGACAAAGGACAAACATAAATCTCCAAACACAGCTAGTTGACTGGTGCGCGACCGAAAAAATCCGCCTGGTCCGGGTATTGAACCCGGGACCTCTCCATTACAAGTGGAGCGCTCTACCAACTGAGCTAACCAGGGGTTAGACGTCAGTAGAGCAAACGGGTTTTATCAGCTGCCACCAGTCGTACACCAACAAGGGTGAAGCTTGCAATTTAATGTTATGATTATAATGCAAACCCTTCTCCAGGGTTTATTTTCGTCATTCTTGTCCAGCTCGCTTGCACCTTCGCATTTAGTTGCATTATAATCATAGCGAGCGAAGCTCCAGCGGCGACGCTCAAATAAAAGACGGGCCGACGAGCAACGACATTCATTTTAGTGCATGAATTTTCCCTGCGCCAAGACATGGTTCAGGTCGGGGAGAGACTGTCGAAAATGGCATACCGATCGGCACAGTTCTAGGGACATGAACATGCAAAGATCTTGACCATCTTATTAGGCATGATCAATAGACCATCGTGGATTATAAAAATATTGGTTCATGTATCGAAAATTTATCGACATTTGCACTGCTACTTCTTGAGTAAATCGGCAGCAGTCTGGGAGTGTGACAGCTCTATCTATGCGAAGCGCAAGTACGTCTGCTTCTAGCACAGGGGTTGCGATGATGTCAGAACACCGAGCCCTTATCGGCTGAGTGAAAACAATAGTGGGTAGACCTCAAGGCATCTAGCATTCAGGTCTACCCACTATCCTTTCAATCAAAACCAATTAAGGCTCGGCGTCGTTCTGACGTCATCGCCACGCCTGCGCAAGAAGCAGACGACTTGCTCTCCGCACTGTCATGTTTGCTACCCGCCAAAATGATCGGAACCACTACTGGTTCAGTCTAGGAATATTATGTTTCCAGCCAGCAGATCACAAGAGCAGGAAGATGGACTGCCACAGATAGGTGAATCTCTACAGAAGGACTTTAATATGGAGCCAAGACCTTGAGGTTGGCTTCTCTCTGTATTATAAGATTAAAGGGTACACTGAGCTCATTTGGTTTACCCGCACCAGTCTGCACCAGCGCAGAAAAGTGTGGGGCAATGTACCTATGGTTGTATGCTGGTATGAGCTGCACTCGTAAATCGGATATGGTAATACGCACCTGCAGTAAAATGCCACTGAAGCGCCCGCTATTAACATTTCCCAAACTTCGAAATTCTCCAAATTATACATTAAGCTCCCAATTTGACCGGACAAGCGGCCATGTCTAGATTAACCCAGTTTTCAGGGAAAGGGGGGTGGGCTCTTCATCGGTATTTTACAGCAGTGCGGTTGATATGGGAGCTGCAGGTAAACTGAACAGAGCAACTATTGTCAATGCACTCAGCGAAAGGTTGTAGGTATGGCAACATGTTAAGCAGTTACACTTGCAAATAAATTATTGAATTGTTAAACCTCAAACGCATCTGTTGGTTTCATATTTCTTCCAAACATCTTCATACCCATGTACGACAGGTCATTGAGCCCACTCAATCTTAGACTTTCATATCAAGGTGCACGATAGCACTCGCGTTTATTGCTAGTTTCTTCCTTGGCTAATTTTGCCATTGCCCGGGATATCGAATTACGGGTGGTGCTTTGTCCGGCTCGTTCACCACGCAGCTCTGTGTTTACCCACAACAAGGCCCGTGCGTCGGAGTCTCTACATTGCCAAACTTCATGGAGCACTGTGCGCAGACTGAGCACGAGTTCTGCGTACGCCTTCGGTGTTTCACCGATTGCTGTGTCGAGAAGGAACAAGTTGGTTGCCCACATGGCCGAAGTGAAGCACTAGGGGTTGTAACTGTTCCATCTCCTGCCCAATGCGGCCCCAGGCTACTACAAGTCGCACTGCACTGGCCACATTGCCCCACCAAGTTAGAGACACCGGATGCGCACTCATCCCTGTCTAGACAAACACGCAACACAATTACTTTGGACGGCAACAGCCTTACTCTGAACCAGCTGGGTGCAGGCACGGGCAGCGGGAGCCTCTGGGAACTGGCGGAGGAAGGGCACTCCCTCGTCGCACGCTTTGGCTGCAAGTTGTTCCAGTAGCATTGATCACGGGTTCCCTAGACTAACCCCAGGGGTTCCCCAGAGTTTCCTCGGGGGTTCCCCCAACTATCCTCGAGGGTTCTCCCACTGATCTCTATTGCAGTGGGCTGGATTCTGGATCGGGAGCCCGTCAGTGGCACCACCGCTGGCCAATAATTGACACCAGGCAATACACGCGAGTCTATGGGAGAACCACACAAGAGTAGAAATATTGAAGTGTATACGCGGTGCTCGTAGACAAGTATTTTATGGTGTGCTGCTTAGAGATTGAATCAGCATTTGTGAAGCGTTCGAATGCCGATTAAAACAATCAAACGTGCCGTAGCACCCACGGCTGAGCTGGCAAGCTTGCTCTCGTAGTGGAGTAAGCAAAGGAACTTGCCGTCAATAACACCGTCTTGAGGAAGCCCAGAAGTTGATGAATGTCGAAAAAGTTCCGTGTTGACAGCGGCTTTCCAGGAACGAGCGAATTCCACGTAGCAAAGCCTTTGAGCTTGTCGTCTGCTAAACCAAACTTGCTGAAACCGCCACCGACTCCGCAGTAACTCTAGGCAACTCTTGCCTCCATTGAGCTGCATTACATTTTTCTCCGAGCGGAGTCACTCTTGACCACAGAACATTTATCTATCAGAACTGCGGGGGCGGTCAGTTTTAATGTTTGTGCACAAGCTACTTGGCAGGCTTCCTGAAAAGCGGCCAAAAAGTTTCGGTGCCGACAACAGCTTAGAAATGGGGGAAACGGCACATTTCCTCGATTTTCCCCAAAGTCCGCAAGTCTCATGCATTAACTGGTGTCCAGTGATGGCTACCGTTGGTGCCACTCAACCTCAGCAAGGTGAGCCTCGATTCGCGATCCAGCCTACTACAATAGATATCAGTGGGTTCCCCAAACTATCCTCAGGGGTTCCCCAGACTAACCCTAGGGGTTCACTGCATGGGCATCACATCTCCCTCGCCCCTAGGTAAGCGGGGCAAGCGTAGCTTTGCTAAAAAGCAAAGAAACAACCCTACTCAATTCAAAGAGCATCAACACTTTTTTCGAAAAATGTTCTTAAAAAGATTTAACAGAAGACAAATATTGTGCGACCTTTGTACATTACACTTGGTGCCAACTACTTTTCGCTACATTACCGAGGCTGGCATAGCTTCCACGGGGCTCCAACGTGTCTCCCTTGCACGACAGTGTGTGCGAATGAGACGCAAAGCAAAGCCACGAGCTTTTGCAACGGTGTGAGGCTGCAGATCCCATGAATACTGTGCTAGCCCCGACAGTGTACTAGTACAATATAGTTTATGCCAGGAATGGTGAGTAACTAAAAGGTATTAGAAACACTAGATGTTTTGCATCGCGTTCCCCAGAAGGAAGATGCGAAAATAAATGTGCTATCAAACCCCACACTAGCCTCTGCGACTCCCCAAATCTAGGGACACAAGCACTTTTGAGGAAGGGATCGGATTCGCCTGTAAAGAACACTCCTGTTCAATGAATCCCAGACTCCAGCCCCAAAGGAAAGTTAGAAAAACTGCCCGAAAAACAAGCTTTTTGTTTCCCCCCCCCACCCCCCCCCCCCCCCCACAAGACAGCTCCGAATGCCGTTTGATACTGTCTCCTCTTAACAAACCTGATATTCCGCCCTTTCGTTCTTGTGTATTCTGAGATCTACTTTTCCATCGAAGCTCCAGAACTTCCACCTACGACAAACGTCCAGGGGTTCCAAGTTTGACACTTGGCAATAAGGTCGAAGAGGTCGCTGTCCGCTACAATTGGGTGGCACCAAGCTCAAGCGTGGTGCTGGCCAATCGCAGCAATCAGCGATTTCGTAGACTTTCTTGTTGAGTGTCCAACTTGGAGCCCCAGGTTAACCTCTCCGTCTTTCTGTCATCAATGTCAACAACAGCCGACACCGTAGAAACAATGGCACGCTGTTCGGTCCGCCTACCAAGCGTCGGGTCCAGCGGCAGGGATCCTAGAAATGGCAGTCCCAGCTCCTGGCAGAGAGCGGCAGCGCCTCCCGTGTTGGCAGGGAACAACTCGCTCGTCACCTGGTGAAAAAAAGTCACGTGACAGCACGCCCCCGTGCAGCGCAACACTCCCAGTTTCGAGACAGCGAGACAGCATCTATAGCAGGGTGACCAAACTGCGGCTCGTGAGCCGTGTGCGGATTTTCGTGGGTCCAAGTGCAGTTTGCGACTTCTTTGTGAGTGTACCCCTTCCCCCAACCTGCCACTTGCAAGATTGGAAGAAAAGAGCTACGGAATAAAAATGATGCCGAAATCGCTGCTGTCGGTACGCCGACTCTCGACGAAATACGTTAGCATTTAGCGCGGGGGTTCCAACTCGGCGAAGGACGGGAATTCCAACGTTGCAACTGTCCACACACTGTTCATTCAGAGAGTCGGTCGGTTATCCCGGGTGTTGGCGGTTTCGGACGCAGCCACCACAGCTTCCCTCAATTGGCACCCGCGGTCCTCATACTGCCGTCTTTGAAGGGCCAATCTTCCCTGCCGGGCACGTCGGCGGTTCCGCGCAAACGGCGTTGCCGCCGCGCCTCGGTTTTATGTCGTCGCATATGTTGTGCCACTGCCATGGCCGCTCTATTCCCTCCTCTCACGCGGCACATCACTGAAAACGTGCGAGAAGACTCCTTCTTGTAAGAGGGAAAGTGAACATAATGAGCGAACAAACGAAGCGAAAGAGCACGGCACGAACCGCATTGAGGCCTCACCCAAACAGCCCAGACCGGTCCAATCCAAACCACGTCTGTTCAAACTACTGACGGCTGCAGGCATTGGAACAATAAACACTAAAGCATTCAAGGTCAGCTTGTGTTTGGACTGCCTCGTGCCATCACATACATGCTAATATAAGGTACTCTTCTTAACCATGAAGGCGGTAAAATTGAAGCAGTGTGCCACCTTGACGAACAGGCGCCCATCCAAGCTCCTCATGACTGCGACAATGTTGTTCAAGCCGAATATCAATGTGCTCTTTTCACAGACGGGGATGAACAACGGAGGAACATAAACTGGGCGATTGCTTTACGAATGAAATTTGGTATGGATACCACCTGAAACTAAAGAAATAAAAACAAAGTGCCCCCACCCCCTTTATTACAGCTTTTTGCTTGCTGCGAGATACTTCGGAAGCACCCACTTTGTTCAAACCCACTATTCACATTTCCCAAACTTTGGAATTCTGCACATTATATGTTAAGCACCCGATTGGACCGGACGAAGCGCCCACGCCTAGATCAACCCAGTTTTCAGTGAAAGCGGGGTGGGCGCTCCCCCGGTATTCTACGGTAAAATGGTTCTTGTTTATGCCTCTCAGCTTACGTCCATCTCGCCACACTTGATCTGGAGCCTTTTTCAGGTTAAAACTAGCAGATCAAGCTCCTCCCATGAAGCCGTCCACTCTTTCCACTTTAGTGGAGTAGACACTGGACAGGAGATGAGTGTAGAAGAGAAAACCGCCAATAATGGTGAGCAGAGGGGTTTCTGAGAGAGGCCTAGCTGTCGAGCTGTTTCAACTGCAACAGACTATAAACGCATTGTTCACGTAATCTGAGGTAGTCTAGAATTGGGTTGTGTGTGTGTTTATACAGCCTAGAACTTGGTCTGCCTCACAGGGGCGACGAGTCTCCCAGCTGTAGATGAGAAATTTAGCCAGTGCAGTAAAACCGCTAGCCTGGGGTCTTTAACGTGCACCACGCAGTAGTGATACACGACCGCACGCCGGTACGATGCTCATCCAGATCGAAACGGGCAGGGGTGGGGCTCGAACCCAGGATCCCTGGGTTCTGCAGCGCGAGCTTTCGCTCCACGTGCTCCGAGCTGGTGTGCGCTAGACCACTCGGCCACCGATCCCCCCTGAGGTAGTCTAAAGCCTCCACAGCCCGTGTTTGAGTACAGTAGAGCTTTAGTTTGGCGTGCTGTAGACTTGTGTTGCTGCTGAGCCAACATACTTTTAACCGTCGTCATCCACTCTTTTTGAATGGAACTCCCAAGGGACTGAGCATAGCTGTCTCACTTACGAAAGCACAAGACCATCTTGAAGACGTGGAGAATAAAAAAAATGTTTCACGAAACTGCTCTCATCCTTACTTATAAGAGTTCCGCTCTAAAATATCTGATGGTATCGACCAACACTAAGTATTGCAAGAAACAAAACAGGTGTACTCAGAAACAGCACTGAGTATTGTCTACTTCTGTGTCTCTGTGCTTGTCATCTCATCATCTGTTTGCTCTTTTCTTAAAATCTGTTTGTACTATGCAGGCAAGCAACTCAAGTTTGTGCTATGCGACCTTCATTTCCCTTTTTTCACTAAAGAACTGGTGTGTGAGTGAGGGGTCCCCACCTTGCACTTGGGGCACGTGAATCCCCGCATGTTCTCCAGAATGCCGAGGATCGGAATTCCTGCCTGGCGGCAGAACCCCACCTGTTTCCGCACGTCTTGCAGCGACACTTCCTGAAATGCACACGAAAGAAAACATTGTTTCGGTTTTGTGCCAGTTTCATGACAGTCGTATGCAGAATTGCGTTTTATGAAGAACGCAGCAGACACTAGCTCTAGTCTGAACCTCTCAAGCGTGCGACGCCGTATGTAGAGTAGAGACGTCCTCCTTGTGTATCGTTGGTTTTTTTTTCTTCTTCCTCTTCTCGTTGTTTTTTTTAAAGTATTTGCAAATGGCGAAGCCTTCTCAAAGTATCTCGAAGTCCCACCTCCTGCTTCCACTTTCTTTGTTGTTGTTTTCTTTCACTGCGTGGCCTGCGTGAAAGGCCCACGACAAAGGTGTTTGGCAGCCAGTCAAGCTTCACCCACTTTTTTTTTCAAGGCAAAGTCGGCGATAACTTTAGTAGGAATGCAATTCCGCATTAAAAGCTCCAGCGGGGAAATGTGGTGAAGAAGCTGTGCGAGGGCTTGGGTTAATGAAAAGTAAGCTTCTGGGTTATCTGAGTTTATTTCTTTATAAAACACAAACTCGTGCGGTGGGGGAAGAAACAAACAGTCGTCTCTATTTTTTTTAAATGCAATGCAGGATCCATCTACAAGATGTCACTGGACACTACTGGCATAAAAATTTTGTTTATAAAAAGGCCAATGAACGGAACGCGACGAAACTTCTCACAAAGCTGTCGTTAAGTGGTGCGTTCATCGTACCCAAACTTCATGAATGTAAATTTCTGGGAAAAAATATAATAAAAAAATATCCCATTATTTCTATGCACAGGAAGGGAAACAGAAGCATGCAGTTTGGTTGTCGCCACTACTCAAAGACTAAACCACGTGAAATAAAAACTTGAAAGCTTCTTCGAGACGGAACAGCCAAATGCGGATCCAGATCCAAGAGTGTGGGATACTACTATCTATGAACGGCAGCGTCAAACAGGCTGTTTGTTTGTTTTCCTCACTGTGCATAGGAGTAACAGAATTATTTTGGGGCTTGCAACTTTCTCTGCGAAGCTACACTCATCAAAATCCGAGCATAAATGCACCATCTAGAGACACCTTTGCAAAAAGCTCCATTGCACTCCATTCGTTGCTTTCTTTTGTAAACCCGAATAGTGCTCGAGAACTCCCTGTAGACAGACACAAACAGCCTTCCTCCATGCTCGGACATAGTACAGAATGTCACCGGCCGTCTCGGTGGCTCCGAGGCAAAGCGCCAGCCCCGCTGATCCCCAGGTAGCAGGTTCCAATCTCGGCCGAGGTGCCCGCGACCCGAGAGAGGCTCATTGCAGAGAAGGGCGCTGGGTAACCGAGACAACGGTTGCAGCTCGAGAGGTCCTCAGGCGGTCGAAATTATGATTCTCAGTCCTCCGCAGGCGCGTGCCAGATGCCCTTCGTTGGCTTGCCACGTAAAAGCCCAAAATTTGAATTTCAGCATGTCAATCCACCCTCCACACCCCCCCCCCCCCCCCACGCCAAAATTAGAAATTTTTAAAATTTATATTGTATTTTTTTGCAAAATTAAACTATGCACCTCCAAATGTTCAGTCTCTGCAAAAATGCACCACCAGCAGTACGGACAAGATGCCAAAGTTTCAGAGCTCGCCACCATCTAGTGCGGAAGTTGAAGACAATTTTTGGAAATTTTAGATGGGAAAATTACAGGCAATGTAAATCCCACAAATACGTGGAGATGAATGGTGTCGGCTACTAAGAACAGGCCCTATTTCTTTCGTTGAAATTTTAAAAAAAATTGCCCAAAACTTTTTAACAAGATAACGGTTAGTTCAGAAAACCTCATCATCGGGGTCTGTAGCGCTAGCGATTCAATCGGGTGGAGATGGAGTGTTTGGCAACAAATAATTCATTTTCACAATAAAAAAATAATTGTTCTCGAATTTTTAACTTTTTTTTTTTTTTGCTCCTTAGTTGCACATATTTTTTATATTTGCACTTATGCACCCTCTTGCATAATGCCGAACGGTGCAGCGGGTATAGACGGAAATAAAGAATGAACATGCAAGTCCCACACTGTGCCACCCAGGGTAACCACCTGCGGCGTTGTGACCAGCAGGGCCCCGTCCAGGTTGCAGTCCTTAAGGTACTGTGCCAGGCTCAGGTGCTCGTCTGAAGTTCCGGGAGGGGTGTCCACCAGCAGAAAGTCCACCTCGCCCCAGTCCACATCCCGCAGAAACTGCTTGATCATACCTGCACGGTCCACGTGTGCTCATTGTCCACATTAAACACTCTTTTACACCATAAAAACTGGGTCACACACTTGTGACCACTTACGACCAAGTGCCTTTGGGCTGGGATAAATGAATTTAGATTGGGATATTACTACCGTAAAATACCGGGCAAGCGCCCACTCAAACTTTGGAGATGATTGCAAAAATATGAAACACTGGCGCTTGTCCGGTCATCGATTTCACATATAAATCTACTGTGCGTATTTTGTCAGATCTTACAAATTTGGTAATGGGTGCTTAATGCGGAATGGGTGGAAGCGCGGTACTCTACGGTAATAGCATATCGTTTAGTGGACCAAAAGAAAAAAGGTAGAAAGTCAAAAGCCTGATTTTTGGTACAAAAATTTGAGAACACAGCGGACTTGTTCGCACCTCCCTACCTTCGAAAGCTCTCTGCCTTTTTATTGTGATACATCCGTGGTACCCAAAGCGCGTCACCCGGCCCAAACGCATGTCACACGACACAGTACATCACTTATTCCCTTCACCCCTGAGCTGACAGTGCAGTGGAAGCTATGTGCTTACCGGACCAATCAGCCGCCTCCCTTTCATCAACTGAACTCATTCTCTGCGCGTGGGTATGCGCGGGGGAGCGTGACCATGTGGGAAAAGCGTGGCTGGCCCAACGAGCACGTAGCTTCCACAGCACTGTCAGCTTAGGGGTGAACGGGGTGAGGAAAGCAACATTTGTCCGAGTTTTGAGCGACGGACTAATCTCCTAGGGGGAGAATGGAGGTGTCTGGGTACACAAACAAATGTCCAGGCAAAAGGGGAGTCCCTCCGTTCTGTCTTTTTTTAACTGTTTGGAACAATGCACGATTTCTGAGTTGAGGAGAAAAGACAAGAAGGAAAAAGTTGAAAAATTGTTTCATCATCCCTTTAACACCCAAAACATAAGAACAAAAATAAAACGATACCGCTGTCGCTACGCCGATTCTCAACGAAATGCTTTAACATTTAGCATGGGGGTTCCGAATCCAGAGGACGGGAATTCCAACCTCGAAACGGTTCACAGACGGTTGTCTCCCGAGAGCCGGTCTCTCCTCCCAGGTGTCGGCGGTTTCGCGCACACAGCGTCGTTGCTGTGCCTCGGTTTTACGTTGTCGCTTATGTACTGCATATCGCGGAAACAAAATCGCATGCCTACACACCGATGCCATTGTAAGACGAGCGCGCGTCAACGGCGGCGCGTCCTTGGAAGGAATGGCTCTTTCCATCTTACACAAGAGAAAAAGTGGACATAACGAGCAAACAAACAGAGCGAAAGCGCACGGCAGGAACCGTGCCGCAACCTCCCGAGACCAGACCAGCCCACAGTCCAGTCGAAACCAGAGACGGCTCCATGTGCCGGAGCAATAAATACTAATGCAATGAAAAGCAGACAGCACACATACAGGCGTGCGTGTTCACTTCCTCGTTCCCGAGTCTCGGACATGCAGGACGTTGAAAGTTCACCAGCTCGACTTGCACATTCTCCGTTATTTGTATCGTTTGTCAACGGCACGAAGCTGTCACAATGTGCAGAACATTGATGCCCATTGGTCCGCTGGAACGTAAGCGACAGCGTAAAAGCTGCAGTTTCAGCGTCGAATTCCGTTTTGGTGCCTACTTCAAAGCGACAGCACGCGGAACAACTCACCGTTCTTTCGCGGACCTCTCCAGATGACGGCGTCGTCGGGGCCCGTCAGGAATCCCACCGACAGCACGGCCACATTGTCCTCCGTAAACTTTGCAACAAAGGGTGGGGCGTCGGGGAAGTGTGTGAATGACAAAGACGATTAAGAGTTCAATGTCACAAAATTCAACGTAAGCCACGCTGCACCCGAGAAAATTTAAAAAGGTCTAATGTATAAAAGAATTTACAGTGCAGAAGACTTATAACTGGTGAAGAAAGCCAGTTTTTCTTTCAAGAAAACCTAAGAGGCAAGCACGAGACAGACCCTGAGGCATAGCCACAGTGCCTAGAATGCATCTTTGACTGGGGAACTTGGCCTCCCATATACCAACCCCCAACCCCCCCCCCATGCATTGAAAGCAGTTTCGAAGTGGCAACAAATTGTCTTCCAAAAGCCGCCATGTCATGCTGCCAGATTTATGTAGACATGCCGGTAATGAATGCAAGCGTCACTATCATCACGGCGTCCCGACTTATGGCTACCGAAGCTTCTGCAAACTTTCAAGCTGGAGATCGACATAGAGCAAAACGGGCGACTGCCACATCTACGCTCTCCACCGCCGCGACACTGCAAGGATAATGGCAAGCAACAGCACGACACTTCTGCGACGTTGTCGGGCGGAGATCGAGGAACCACCAATGAGGACGCGACTGATACACCGGTTGGAGGTGCACTCGAGGCATTATGGTACAGCTACTAGCATACCCTTTAAGCAAATTCCACTAGTCATCTTGGGGCGAACCAGGGGTGCATTTTTGGGGGCACGTGCCTTCTTTGGGTGACTATGACCAGCAGTGTTTTCTACTGTTGGACCATCGGGGGCGGTGCCGCTTTGTAGGGTAAGTTAGCGTAAAACTCGCTCCCCAAAAATAGGCAGTTGACCAGAAAAGGATATTGTTTGATGCCCATTGGTGGTCAAGCAGTGCCGATTTTGCCCCATGCGGTTTACTTAGTACTGCGCTGTGGATTTAGGTCAGTGATTCAAAACGACGAATGAGATATAACGGATGTGCAGCAGGATGTGAAACCCTAAAAGCCCAGATGAGATGTAAAACCCCCAAAGAGCTTGCGGGGCTCAACCACAAAAATAAATGACGCGTCACCTAACAGTCATCCTCGCCTCAAATGTAGCCCAAACAGTACGAATCAGATGCCAAAGTTTCCGACCTAACCATTATCTCATTCAAAAATTTTAAGTGATCTGAAAATTTCAACGGGAAAATGGGCCCCACTCTCGGCAACTGGTATCATTCAGCTCCATGTATTGATGGACTTCATCGTCCGCCATTTTCCCACTGAAATTTTCAGAAAATCACCCAACTTTTTAATAACATGGTGGCAAGCTCTTAAACTTAGGCATCTGGTGCGAACCACTAGCACTACACTGGGGCAGAGAATGAGCGTTCAGCGATGCATAGTTCATTTTTTCGGCAAAAAAACCCCAAAAATGTTTTTGGCGACGCTTTGTACATAACGAGCCCGAGACCTAAAACCTTGATCATGGCCTTGAACGTTCAATTAGAAGACTCACCACAGGAGACCAACCGGAGCCACTCTGATGCACCTGAAACACAAAAGAACTCGCGTTCTAAACATGTTTGTGAAAATGGCCGGCCCAATGACAACTGTCCCTGTACAATATGCAAGTCTCAATGCTAGGCCTACATTGCTTTATTCGGACAACCGCTCGTCGACACCACCTCTGGATCAATGTTACCCCGACAAATTTTGTGACACCACCATAGTCAAGGGCTTCCGTGTTTTTGGTGTACATTGATGAACCTCGAAAAGTAATTCCTAGGCCGGTTTTCTCGAAATCGGGGAGAACTGAAGAACTCACACAAGGAAAAGTCCTTCAATGAGAAAAAAATCCAAGCTCCACGGGAAGAAGTCGGAACCTAGGATGACGAAGCGACGAGGATGTCCGTCTCAGACATATGTCAAGAAAATGGCTGCCAGGGAATGACGTAACGATCAATGCTAGATCAAACTCAGTTGACAAGCTGCCTAGACGGCCTGAAGCCTTTTTGAGGCACATCCGCCCTGTGGTGCTCGCTACACTATCTGCCCGCCCTACGGACAAAAGCAACAAACCGGTGGCACGTCGGATGCACAATTCCTGCGATGGAAGGCTATTTTATTGTGGTTAAAATGAACACAAAGTTTGCGCAAACGTTTCCACAAAGAGAGCGTCGTTAGATAAGTCCTCCTCTGTTGCTCGTGGGAGCGGAGGCGACAGAATCGCCATCGCCCACACTTCGTCGCGCGCGAGGAACCAAACTCGCGGATAAATCAATCTAACACGCAGGTCCCGCCCTTTATGTTTCTAGGAAGAAAACTCTCGATAATTCAAACTTTGCATAGTTCAAACAAAGTTCTGGTCCCCCTCAGGTTCAAATTAACGAGATTCCACTGTATCTAGAAACGTTGGTAATAATGGCGAAGCGGCGGCCATCGCTTGGAAGGACCTACCTGCTCTCCTTGGAGACCCAAGATGGTCGGCTGGGAGGGCCCGCAGACGTCTACGTCCAGCACAGCAACCTGTACGCGCCCAGGTTGGAAACATGCTGAAAGCGATTCCCAACTTTCTAAAAATAATGGTTTTCGCTTCTGAAGGCAATCATGCATGCCTAAATTTCTACAAAACTATGACCCATAAGTGCCCAACTACACCAATGCAGTGGAATTTTGAAAGCAGGTGCTTTTTAACTGTTTCTTTCAGGAGGCATTTCAACGTCTCCAGTGTTTCAGAGCTGTTCCCGGGCACTCGTGGTCGAAATTGTTTTTCTGTCATGTTTTTGTAGCAAGATGGAATGGTAACTGCTGTGCGAGGAGCCATTAGCGGGCGATCAACTCGCCTGCTCCCTAGAAAATGATGGGTGGACCTTGCCCCACACAATGCAAATTCTTACCTGGCGCCACCATGCAGAAGCCACATGCACTTTCGTGCCTGCTGTCTTTGAGTCGCTCCTGCTCCAAGTTCACAGACATAGACTAATGACACAAGAGGCTATGGTTTGATCCATGGGTTCCGAAACTGGGTTCCCTAGAGTACCCTAGACCGTTTTCAGAGCCCCTGCAATTTCTTTACTGCCCCTGTCCCTAAGTACAGTGCTCTTCCAGCCCAAACACCATTTTATGACCTGAACCATCTACTGATGCATAACAAGGTGCCACACACTCCCTGGCATATTGTTTACAAGGACTGTAGATTTCTGTGCTGCTCTACTGCATCCATACCAGGACCGGAAAGGGCTTCTCGGCAGTCGTTCGAGAGAGATAGGCGTTTCTCGAGATTGAAAAGTTTGAGAATAATTTAAATGAATCTTAATCCAGCAAATTGTGTCGTGAGACCCAGATGGGTCGCGTTGTTTTGAGCTGTGCTGGGTGTTTATGCGCTTTCTTGAGTTTGCTGTATGAGCAGTACATAATGTCGCGGATCGAAAAGGCCCAACGAGCATAAATCGAAAATAAGGGTTTAATCGGCGAACTTGTGCCAGAAAAGGAAAGAATGAGCGCTGAAACGGCACCAGCGAGCGTCGAAGTGCGGTGTGACAGCGGGCTGGAGTGGGACTGCGAGAGTGAATCAGCAAGGCCACCCTCGGCTCCTTACCGACTCCACTCGGTACCTTGAATATTTGACCTAGAATGTTCGGGGTGAGCTAGGGCAACACTCACTCAGCAAGGTCACATTGGCCTCCTCATCTTTTACACTTGGGGTAAGAGAAACTCGAAGCTTCCAGAAGCATGAACAAGCGTTCCTTCTCTGTCATGCACGTAGCAACCCAGCGGTCCCATGGTCAGTGCCACTATAAGTCACGTGACGTTGTAGTTTCACATCGTGGTATATCCGGTGTCCCTTTATGTGATATAGTGTCACGTGACATCCCAATGTCACATGACACGGTGATTTTATGTACTCTGTCACATGAGACTGTGACTCCACTGTGTCGTGCCACACGACACAGTGCCATCCCTAATGCCCCAATCTGACACCACAATGTGACTGTGACATCACGTGACGTCGCTGCGTCACATTACAGCGTCAGTGACAGTGTTTTGTGGCATCATGTTACACTTTCCTCTATGACTGCAGTCCTTAGAGGGGTACTGCATTTTTTTCGTGGTCTCCGATTTGCCCCAAAATGGTAAAAGTGTACCTACAAACATAGCTGAACAGAACTATAACTTTTTTCGTGAAGTTATTGAACTTTCAATTTTGGACCTTACCGTTTTCTTTTTCAAAATGAAAGTGTCTACTGGCACCAATGAACAAATGAAAAAGGGGGGTATATTCTTTGGGGTGTAGAATTATTTTGCAACTGATTACAAAAGTTTGACGGTGTCAAAGGAGAGCTTTCGAAGTTTGCTTCTCCCTTTGGGCAGCAGCACGAAACAAATGTGCGGCATACTGCGTTTTCTTGGCTGGCGGCTTGACCCGCAAGCCGGCCTGCCAGCGACATCGCGGCACCGAGAAGCGTGGGTATATTTGAATCTCGGTTTTGGCATAACTCCCTTTCACTGATTTCACGGCAACTATTCCGAATTCAGATATAGTAAATAACAATCCGCACAGGGTAAAGGCAGGGTATTAAGAAAATATGGTTAGTTTGGATTACTCGAAAAATCACTGTGGTACTTTTTTCAACACATTCCGCGTCGAGAACCCTCCTACTGGTCTCACGCGATACAATAGGCAAACGAGAAAGAAGCCCTCACATTGGGTTCTCCGGCGCCGGCTGCCAGGCCACTGGCGAGCAGCGACGTCACGCTGCTCTTGCCCACTCCGCCCTTGCCAGAGAGAACCAGCAGCACATGCTTCACAGAGGAGAGGCGCTGCGTTATGGCCACCACATCTGCAGATAAAGGAGGGGCCGCACGGCATCGAGTGCACCACGTTAGAGCTAGTCACAACAGTGTGCGAAAAAAATGAGGAAATATGCAGAAATGCAGGATGTTCCGGCTGCCCGGTAGATGGCGCCGGTGCATTCTTTCACCGTAAGAGATCCTGAGCAGTTTAAAGGTGCTCGGTCATAAGCAGTAGCAAATATGTGAACCAGCCTTGGGCTTCGCTCAAGAGCTGCACCCAGAGTATCAACATGGTGCCTCGAACGCACCTCCGACCGGTATGCTTACCGCATCTTCGCTTTTGATGGGCAATGTTTCGATACTAGAGCATGAAAAATACGAAGAACCGTAATCCCACCGACGGAAAGGTGGCCAAAAGAGACTAAACAAAGCGATGAAGGTGCACGGATAAAAATATTTCTAATCCAATGTCCCACACATTTCTCTGCTCAAATTTTAGACTTCTTCCCGCTCGAAACAGAGGGAACAAAAAAAATAAAAAGTTGCCTCTTTGCCATATTGGTGAGGCAAAACAAAGGCAGTGGTAACACAGAATGTGATGTGTTAGTGTGGGACTTTCTCAGAGCCTGTTGGAGTGTGAGGTGCAGAAGACAGAGCCTGATGAAAACAGAACAATGGGCGTGCCGCAGCGTCGAGCAGAACCCTGGCACACTGCTCATGGTAAAAGAGAACCAAACGCTTAAAGGGACACTGACAGCGTATTTATGTTCGCCGAGGTTTTTTTGTATGTGGCATATGAGAGCCCAACTACCCAGAACAGAATTTGCGGCTCGAAATTCGGTTTCTTTTCGCCTGAAAACTGCCGATCAAGAATTGGCGGGTTTAAGTCGCGCTCACTCTTTTCTTCAGTCACGGGCTGTTTTCTAAGATTTAGACACGACCACCAAATTTAAAGGGGCCCTGCAATGACTTTTTGACTGGTTTTAATTTGCACCGAACCTGAGCGCACTGAACGTAGTAACTTAATCAAACTTTTCTTTTCTCAAATTTCGCTTTATTTTAAAAGTTATAGGCGAATTAGAATTACAAAAACAAGCAAAAAATAACCTCCTTCATGACGTAGTAGGTCCTGGCTTGAGTGGCCGTGAACTAGAAGAGGGGTAGTGAGCTCATCGAGCGTTCACGGCTGCCGCACTCCGGGTCAACGGCTCGAGAGGGCGCCACTAAAGCATATGTTGGATAAGCTCTATGAAGCGGGCGGCCGGGGCGGCTCGCATTGCATTTGCTGCGCGATTAAAGACTATTTCGGCATAACACTTCATTGGCCACAAACGACAGCAAACACGGGGGAAAGATCAGTTCAGAACGGGAGCCACTTCGCGCTGCCATGCCGCCAAATGGCCAAATCGCCAGCGGGGCCCGCGCCGAAGGCCTTCGGAACGCTTGGAACCGGTCGGATCGTTGAGCCGGTATACGACCGCAGCGCCGCTGCGTACATCCGGGGCTTTTCTACGCTGGCCGTTCTTCGTAGCCTAGTTCTTTCTAGTATGCGCCGTTTTTTCCGCCGCTTGGTGGCGGGTATGTCGACGGGTCTTTTCTTGTTTCCGTACTTTATAAACTGCATTTGTTTCTTTTCTGATCTAGAATACTGAAGAAAAACTTCTTTTATAAATAATTGAAACGGTTCGCGCCACTTATATTTTGTATTTCGACTACGAAAAAGCTTTTAGCGGCTCTGACCAGTAGTAAGCCTAGGACCAAAGACGTCACATTTTGCGCGCTTTCGGTACCGCGGGTCGCCCTCGTCGGTGGAGGTGGTTTCCACGTCGTTCGGTTAAAATATGACGCACTGATATTTAGTTACTTTCTCCGTGCCCGCTGGCTTGCCCGAACCCCAAGAGACATAGAAACCGCAAAAAAGGTAGTTGCTTAAATATGATTGCAGGGCCCCTTTAACCAAAGTCAATGGTCATTGAAGGCACACTAAATATTAAAAATAGAAAAAAAATATTGAGCCCATTTTTTGTGGCTTCTAAAAAGCTGCAAATTCGTTGATTGAAAAAAAAAAAGAAAGTTGCACAGAGAACCAGAAGCATTCTGTGCATTCATTGCGTAATTCTCAACACGGCGTCGTTTCACGTATCGTGGGAATCACGGGGACAGCAAATGCAGCAGACGACGGGCATGGAACCTCTACTTCAGAACTGTCGTTGCGGTACCGGCAAATTCTGTCTTCCTTTGAAAGAAAAATTTTGGACCGATTAAAAGAATCGGTATACATCCCATACGACACGCCTGACCACCAAGCCAATTTGCACGAAGACGTCGCCGAGCCGTTGCCCCCCTCTCATGGCTGAAGACATCGCTCGCACAAACAAGCAGGAAGTGCATACTTCGAGTTAAATACGCACCCGTACGATTTCCTTACTAGGTGTGAATGTGGCCAATGCATGGTGCTGCCCGACTTTGACCCGGGAGTGCTTTTGCTGCAGGACCGTCTACATTATTACTAACAAAAGAGTTTCCCCAGTAGCACAATGAAAAGATGTCCACTTCACACGCAGCGGGCCCAGGATCAATCCCTAGTGTAGGCGTAGCTTTTTTTTATTTTTTAGTCACTTTGCGATAATTAGGTACATTTTTTTTTTTACAATTATCACTGAAAAAAACAAATGCTGTGGACGAAACGTCGCTGAACTAAATGGTATGGGATTTCCCTTTTGATACCTGCGAACTCAATGTAATCGCTTTGCACAAAATGCAAGGAGCATATAAATCGGGTAGTGTACACTTTCCAAGGTGCCCGTAAATGTTCTGGAGGAATGCAGCCAGCCATTGGTCCCAATCCCGTTGATCTTTCGGAAACTTGTGCAGACTCTGCTGCACAATGCCACTTTTTTCGGACGCAGGACATGTGAGGCAGCTCTTCACGCAACATCTTGGGGGTATTCTTTTCGGAGCCGATCACGGAAATTCACCACGGGCACTCACTACTCGTGTGGAACTCTTCAATGTACAAAATAACTCATCTTGAAGTACAGAAAAGTGAGCGGAACAAACATAGCTGCATAGGAATCACACAGCAAACTGTTCCTGCCAGGCATGTCGTCTGCTGTGCGCAGAAAAACAAAAGTGCATGGTTGGGTGTAGCCACGTGACTTCCGCCACTCACTCGCTCGTCTCCACTTCTCCAACTTCCGTGCGCGGGTTTCAGTTTCGGTTTCGAGCGGTTGTGTTTTTTGGCTTTATTAAAAATATATGCGACTCCGTTGCAAAATATTAATTGGGTAGTCTTCCGGCACCATAATGAATCGCCTGGCAAAAAATTAAGAAATGTTCTTGGGGGGTGTCAGTGTCCCTTTCTACCTCAACCCGAGAAAGCCACGCTTTCTCGCACTCTTTCTTTGTGAAATGAGCACGTCGGAGCATGCTCATTTCATGTGGCAGAGACACGCCGTATGCCTGAGCACAAAATGGTCCCCCCCCCCCTGCAAGTAACACGGATCACGGATGCACTTTAGGAAGACTTTCAGCTGGCAATAGTCCAATCAATAAGACGAGCGCTGCGCCAGCGCTTGTTTGCCAATCAGCTTATCAACTTCCGTCCCTGGTTTGGAAATGGAAATGGTTAAGTGCCAGCGATATAACACAATCTGTGCTAGGGCAAAGATAGAAAGGTATATTTTACAGGTGCCCCACCGCTCGACTCAGTCGTCTGCCTCCTTGCCTGCCATTGACCCTGGCAAATTTGTTGGCCCTATTTTTTACAGAAATTGAGCTTCACTTTGTAATTTCATAAGATAAAACGGGCCTGTGAAATACACCTTTCACGAAAAATTTAGATTGCTTCTTGAAGGTGTCTATTTTTACAGTCCGTTTTAGATCAAGCCTGGTTACTTCAGACACTCTATATATCGCCTCCATGATTGCAGAGAGCCTGTAAGTGTATTAGAACGTACAGGTATAGGTCTTGCAATTTGAAGAAGAGGATTAGAATGTGACCTGTCTTATTCACAAACTCATCTCTGTAACGTCACGGCGCGGTGGTGGCGCGTTGGGCGCGCTTCTGGTCTAGGGCTGTGAGCGGAAGCCGCCATGGGGCACGTGCATTCATGTGTTACCTTGGGAGGAACCATACAAAAACCTGCCTTCTCGTCAAAACGCCGCAAATGGAGCTGTACCAAAAGAGTCGGGAAAGGTTTGAAGGTTCGTCCGAGGCTCGGTTCGTCCGAGGACATGAATAGGGGCCGTTAAAAAAGAAAGAAAGACGCTGTTGGACCACGATTGCTTGGGCGGAAAACACTTTGGATTAAATTCACGGATACTTGTGGTCGTCAGATTTATTTGTTTTCTTCCTACATGAACGCGGAAAAACCGTCTAGTTTCATGGACCACTTGCGGACTACGTTCAGTGCGTCATTACGTTCAAACGACTGCCTAATAGTTCGAGCTGTCGCCTGCTCTCTCAAACGTTTCTGCTTGTCGTCTGTTCGTTCAAACGACAGCGGCCCGTAGACCAAACGTTGACCTGGTAATTGCAATAAGATGTGCAGGCGTCAAAAGACGTTTAAGTTCGAAGGTTGCTTCGGGTAAGTAAGCTCGGTGTAAACAGTAGATATAAGGAAATGTTGATAATTGCTACCAGTCACAAACACCAACTTGTTATGCCTGATTCACTCGGTCCAATTCTGCTTGCGATTTTCAGTACCGACGTCAACATCTCAGCCACGGTTCAGGCTTTTGCAGCTCGAGTGACGTCATGACTGAAAACAGCCAGCACAACCTCACCATGTGAATCAGGCTTTAACGTCCATTCTGCGGCGTCCACGTGGAATGAATCGCCGCACGTTACATTATTCACGCCAAGTTTTGCGTTGTAACGAGCCTCGTTAATTTCGCTGATGCCGCTCAAGCAACCGGACATTGCCCAGGGAGATGTAGAATCAACAATTCCAACGCGAAAAAGAGCATGAAGACTCACACCGACGCCGACAACATCCCATTCCAATGGTTTGTTTATGGCCGACGGCGAGCTTCTTGCCCACGCCCCCATCGCGCATGCGCGGCGTCAATGGCGTCCGCTAGGAGCGCTCCGGTTTATTTGTGAACATCAGTTGGTGTATAGGCTGTTCTCTGACCATAATTTTTATTTTTTATTTAGGGTATATTGCTGTTTGAACATATAACACCGCAATTTGTGCAGTAGAATACACACTCACGGGTAATTTCAGCCTGCTACGCTCAATCGCCGATTTTTGCGACACGATCGCGAGATATTGTTGGCGCTGAAATACAACAAAATTGTACATTTCAGGCGGTCTCACTTTAAAATTTTACAGCAGATTACCTTACATTATTATTACCTAGGCTGTTAAAACTTACAATTCGTCCGGAGTTTCTCTGTTCAGCGTCACATGCAACAACGCTAGCAGAGCGACATAGAACGAAGAATCCGAATTTCACGCTATGAAGTTGGCTACAGTGGCTTGCCTCTTACGAAGATTCTAGCACATAAAACTTATAAGGCACAATTATGCATAACATTAAAAGAAAAAAAAAACTATGTTAAATACGACCAGACAATCCTGTTTAGTATATCGTGAATATTGTGTCATCTGCTTCCGATCGCGTCTGGTGATGAAAGTGAAGGTGCTTATGATCATTATGGTGATTACATCATCATTAGATCAATACCAACTAGAAGACAAGGCCTGCGCATGATGTTTCGTTAGTAGATCCCCGACCCGCCCCAAGCGGTAAACACTCCGAAGCTGGACGAGAGTAGGGGCCACGTCACAATGACTGCATTCCAAATCTTGCCCAAATGGATCCGAGTTACTCCGGCGGGTCGTGTCACGTGGCTGTGTTCCAAAATTTATTCAAGCCGACTTTGGAGTAAAGGTTTCGTACCGTGGCGTTCCAAAACTTACTCGAGCTTACTCGATGACGTCAGAACTCGCGTTCCAGAAGCGGGTTGTTTACTCCGGAGTAATTACTCACGCTACCCTCCTCGATCGGGGGGTAACGTCGGATCAAATCGAGTAAATACGTCACGTGATCTGTTCGTCGTCTGCTTTCTGCGCCGACAGCCGTCAAAGCTCGCTTGCTCCGTTGGTTTTGGTGGCGGACAGTCGCCAATCGAAATGACAAAGAATCGGGTGCAGCATGTGTGCTTATTGCGATTTGCTGTTTTCATTGCACGAATTCACTGCATTACATCCAGACCGTGCACCTTCCCCGAGAAGTGCAAGCGTAAACAGGAGCTTCTCCGCATTCTCGTCTTCGAACTTGGAGGGAATCCGTATTCTCACGTTCAAGGCTGAAAATGTTTGAATGCAATAAATGATAAAGTAGTATCTTTGTTTTGTCTAGAGTGTGTGTAGTGAGAGGATGACACGTGTAAAGCAGTGAAGGCCTCAAAACTTTTATTGCGATCATATTCGCATCAAAGTTTCATATCATTCTTGAGAAAGCACCCTCACGCTGTACTACATTGTGCGGGATCAATTCCTGCAAAACATGATCAATGCAAATTACAATGCGTGGAATATATGCGTTTAGGGCGATCACGCTGATTAATAAAACACTTTTTTAATGTCTAGCTGTAAGAAGTAAGTAATTTTCATCTCAATATACAGCTCAAAAAGAAGGTGAGTAAAAGGAGCTGGTGAATCCACCTCAAAAAACACCGCATCGTTATTAATATTATTCTCTCTTCGATTGCTTTCTTGATGATCAAAAGGATCGTCTGCTATTTTCTGCCATTGCTGCTGTGTTTTCTTTTTGTCGTAGCCCAAGACAAAGCCAATTCGCATAGTACCCAAGTATTGTCCCAGCTGTTCCAAAATCGAGTCGCGGATCATTTACTCGCGATGTCACGTGATATTACCCGCTGACATAGGAGGCAGGTTACTCGGGTAATATTTCGAACATAGCCGAGACAACACAGATTGAAAAACGCTGGACGTGGATAGGTTTTAGGACGCCAAGGTATAAACACCTTACCCTGGAGTAAGATAGAGTAAATTTTGGAACACAACCAACTACGGCGCATTCACTTGCGGCCACAGCTGCGTGCGCGTCTGCTGAGCACGAGCTGATAGCAAGCTTCCAGTTCATTTGTAACGTGCATGCGAACACTCCTTCGGCCAGGAGCGCCGGCTAGCATGCGCTCCTGGCTTTGAGACGAGCAGATCTAGTGCGTGCGCTCGTTCTGCCGCAGAACGCTCCAAAACAGCGACCTCAGGAGTATCAACAGCGCCCTCAAAAATGGCGTCCAATGCCAACGTCCAGCGCAGGGCTTTGCAGCCCTTCGCACAGCAGTAAGGCATTTTCACCCATGCATTTGACGCTCCATGTGAACGTCTAACTTCATTGTATGCTATAGCCAGTAAAGTTTTCAACAACAACAAGGGACACTCAGCATGCGCATCTGTTTCATTATCTGCTACACTAACCACTGAAGCAGTCAATGGAGCAGACAATGTCGCGGACGATGTAGCAGACAATGTTGCTCATCCGGGCTAGCTAGGGGGCGCTGAGGGGGTCTACCAGTCAGAGCCATATATGGGGAGAGTTTGGTCAGTCTATGATCTCGCCGCCGTAACGCTCTCCTCCCGAGTGAGCCAATCAGCACGCGGCGCGGAGCGAGAGGCATGAGCGCATGCACGTGAACTCTGGGCTGCTCCCACCTGAGTGGGGAGGGCCGCCATCTTCGATCATTCTCCCGGCGGAATGCGTGGGATCGGCATCTAAATCTCGATTACTGCCTTTTATATCGCTGGCTCTGGCAAGAAAATGACATTGTTATTCCTCGATGGGTTAAAAAGCTAATAAATGAAGATTTTTCGGCATATGGCCACAAACTTTTATTCAGACGAAAAAGAAGTCGGCCCGTAGCAGACGACGTGTAGCCTCAGCAGTGCTCTTCTCCGACCCGTCTTCGACAGCGCTGCTAAAAAATGGCGGTCGTCTCCTCTCTGCTCCCTTCTTTCTCTCTCGCTCCTTCGGCGCTCTCCTCCCTTTCATTTACTTTTCTCCTCTCCGGCGCCTTCGTCGCCACACCCACTGGCCAAACTCTCCCAATATACGGCTCTGCTACCAGTCTACTAGTGATGACGCTTACAGGAGAAAATGCGCAGGCCTTGTGTTGCAGGTGGTATGGTAGCGCCGTTGACCTTCGTGGTATGGGAAGCTTGCCTTTCTGTGGCGAATCTCTTCAACCAAAACAAATATTACGATTATTCCTCACCGGGATCCGGTCCTCTTGCAGCTCCGGATGCGCAGATGGACTGGTTGGGGCAGCCCTGGCACGGAGATGCCTTGCCGGCAAGCTCGCTGGCCGTACCGGGACAACCTGAACATCAGGCGACAGTGTTTTCACGACATACCGCGCAGCTTTGAATCTGCGAGGAAACCTTGAAGCGGGATGACACGTCCGAAAGCATCGCCCTCGGAATGCCTCTCCCGGATCTCACATTTGGAACGTTTCAACGACATTTGAAGATTTTTGTGTCGTCATCTGTTATGTGTCCTTCGGCACTCCCTCAACAGCTTCTATTCACGGACAGGATACCATCGAAACAAAACTTACTCTCCGGGGCGTCTGCAGGCACGTCCGCCATGTGTTGTTCAATGGAAAATCATGTGTGGTGCACCTTCGTTTTGCGACATCGTGCGACAGGTGCGACATACAAAAGCGGGGTAACTCTTTACGGCCGAATTATAATTAGTGACACTATAATTTAACTTGATGTTTGCTGCTACCGCTGCCACTAATGCACATCTTGTTTTACATTTCTTACCATTATTAATAATTTAAATGCGTTATTTGTAACTATATTTAGAGCAAAAAGTTGCTTTGAGGGCTTGAGCCTTGAGCCATTTGCCCAGTGCATTTGCCTGACTCGGCTAATCTAGGCTTGGCTAGCGTAGGGACTAGCCACATCATTGACCCGTACATCGACTACGCGCGCGATTTGAAAGTAGGTACCCTTTACCAAGCGTTCAGCACAGCTGAGAATAAGATAGACAGATAGATAGTCTTTATTCGACCCTGGAGGATTGCAGCATCACAGAAAGGTCATTGGCCCGTACCTGAGGCCTGTGGTGCCGCAGTATTACAGGAACTGAACACAACAGTAACAAGAACATTAACAGTAATTAAGATTTAATGCAAGGGTCATATGGGGTGGAATATATGTCAGTCCGAAAAGGAGGTGTCCGTCACTGCCGGAGGAAGTCTAATGCCTCCTTGCACCAGGCTTTCATGTCCTCTTTCTCTTGGGGGGGGGGGGACACTTGGTGAGTTGCCTTGGTAGTGAGCGCCACAGTGCTACAATCCTGATGATCGAGGAATGAATTCCGGTGTCGCGTAGTGCGGCCAAAGAGTGGCTGCAATCCGCCGGATTGTGTATAGCGTAGGCTTTCCGCCAGCGGGAATGTTGAATTGCTTGGAAGGAGGGTGCTTGCAAGAAGCCGGAGTGACGCAGCCTGTCGGCGGAGAAACAATGGGCTCCATCCAACCATTTTTAGGAGTTCCTGCGTGGGTAGGTCGCGGTAACGCGGCAGACCCGGGGAAGCCTGCCGACGTAGAACTGAGTAGGCTGCACGCCGCTGTACGCTTTCGAGGGACGCTGTTAATGCGGTCTGGTAGGGGTCCCAGACCGAAGCACAGTACTCCAAGTGTGGTTGCACGTGTACAGGTGCCGCAGTGTGCTGGGACCAGTTCCCCGAGTGACCCGGAGCACAAACCCCAGCAGTCTACGGCCCTTGAGATCACCTCACCGATGTGAACAGCAAAAGTTAATTTAAAGTCAAATGTTACACCGAGGAGTCTTGTGCGATCGATAACAGGGAGCGCCGCTCCGTTCAGGAGGAAGCTCGTTGTTCGGTGATGAGGCCTCTAAATGTACTGAGGAACGTAGATGTGCACTTGTTGATGTTTAGTGGGAGCCTGTTTTCTATTGACCAGTCATGAACAGCGTTAAGGTCATGTTGGAGTTGCTGATAGTGTACGAGGCACTGGACTGGATGAATTATGGTCAGATCGTCTGCATAAAGGAGGGATGTGCAATGTAGCGAAGATGTTACATCGCTTATGAAGATGGTAAAAAGAGTTGGTCCCAGGACACTCCCTTGTGGAATTCCAGACAAAACTTGTTTTGAGCTTGACACGGCTCCTTCGAATATAACTCTCTGGGAGCGATCGTGCAAAAAGTCAGATATCCAGTTCATGAGGCAGCCGGTGATACCCATCTTGGACATCTTCTGACAAAGTATTGTATGGTCAACCCTGTCAAAAGCTTGCCTAAAATCAAGTTGCAGGAGTTGACAGGGTATGTGCTCGTCCAGAGACGAGCTCAACATTGGAACGGTGGAGGCTAGTGCTGACCCACAGCTTTATCCGGGCCTAAAACCGTGCTGGCAGGGCGAGAGTAGGTCATGCTGCTCCAGATGTTGGAGAAGCCTTTTGTTCAAAATCCGCTCCATGGTTCTGCACACGATGGAGGTAGTCGAGATGGGCCTGTATGAGGCAACAGACGATGTGGGGGCCGAGTCAGTATACGTCATCCTCCCCTTGTGCACCGGTGTGAGAAGAGCCAGTTTCCACTTGTGGGGAACCGAGTCACCTTGCAGATAGTTTGTGAAAAGCCGTGCAAGGACTGTGCTGAGACGTTCAGAGCCGACCTTTAACAACATACGATGCACCCCATCCGGGCCTGCACTTTGGGAAGGTTTCAAGTGTCTCACTGCTTCAATTACATCATCTACATTTATTTCGACGTTTCCAAGTGGTACCACATGTGGGAATCGAAGAGTGTCAGCAGTCTTGGGGGTGCCGGGGACAGTCCATGCTGAGGAAAATTGAGCACTGAACAGTTCTGCTACAGCACGGAGGCTTTGCAGAATAGCCCCACCAACTGTAAACTCCGGGGAGGATGACGTATACTGTACCAGTATACACCATTCCAATATTTACAATTCCTCAGCTCTGCATGTGATTTCCTCAGCCCAGCACACGCATGTACATCGCTTTGGAAAGCGAGCAAATCGTGCACCATATGCACAAACACTGAAAATGGAACCAGCCCATGAGCCCTTTTCTAAAAAAGTCAATATTGTTTTTTTTCACGGAGGTTGGTTTTAGAATTTCTATTTTTTTCTGCACCACCGGTACAACTTCAAAGAGTTCCATGTAGTCTATATGCGCCGTTTTACAAGCAAACATTACTTTTCAGAAATATTGCATTCACAGCCCAGCATGCACAGTTTTCGCTCTTCAAACCGAGCAGCATGAACAATGTGCATTAATGCTGAAAATGGCACCGTCATCCAGAAATCCTTTTTCTGAATTGGTCTATAAAACTCGGGACATTTAGCATGGTACAGTAGTACTCTCGCTAGTCCGGGCATCTGTTGAACAACCATAACTGCTGCTAACACGGTAAGAATGGCAGAGAGGAGCTCTGGATGTCCCACCTCCAGCACAAGGTTCCTTCTTTTGACAAGGCTTCAACGTCTCGGGCACTTTGAGCATGCGCGCAGCATATCCGCTACAGTGAGCATTGTAACCAAGCAGTCTGTAATATTTATTACACAAAATTCTCAAGGACAATATCTGTATGTCTTTTGTTAATTTATATGTATTTATTGTTGAAAGGCAATGCCAAAAAAAAAAGTTGCCAGGAGAGCCTCAGCTACTCTGCAGCGCAGCTGATTCCGTAGGCTTGAAGTGGTGGTAGTAGGCCTTAGTGAAGTCTATCATCAAGTCTTGGGTGCACTCGGGAAGTTCGCCGCTGAACAGGCCTGCAGGAAAGAGGGTGCACACGCTCACTTTCTGTCTGCACCTACAGTTCAGCAAGTGAACAAAAACTGCAAATGAAACATTGTAAATCAATACGGCCTCTTTCCAGGCAAATATGCACGCCTATGGACCAACATGCGGCGCTGATGTCACGCTCCTGCCGTGGCGCTGCTATGTGGAGAGCAAGTCGTCTGCTTCTTGCAAAGGAGTTGCAGTGACATCAGAGCGACGCCGAGTTCTGATTGGCTTTGATTAAAAGGATGGTGGGTAGACCTCAATACTAGATGCCTTGAGCTCTACCCACTATTTTTTTCAACCAGCTAATGAGAGCTCGGCGTTCTGACATCATTGCAATCCCTGTGCAAGAAGCAGACGAACTTGCGCTCCGCATTGGCAGGGCACAGGCGCAGACGCTCCACATGACGGGAATCTGGTTCCTGCGCAAGTGCAGGGCCCACACCTCGTGCGGAAACTGCGCGTTTGCCCACACCTTGTGAGGACTTGTTTGTGAACAGCGCGTTGGCCTATATTCTGTTGTAGGTTAGGAAAAGCAGGTGAAGCCCCTCCCATAAAGCTCACTGCTCGCCACAATTGCTGGTTTCCTCCTCTCCAGCGTTTGCTCTGCTGAAGTGGAAAGAGTGGAGGGCTTTGTGGTAGGACCTCGTCGTGCTTTAACCTTTAAGACCATAGGTTTCTACAGAAACAGTCCGTAGGGGCCCAGCAACTGAGAAAAATTAGATCTATCTTAATCCTTCGGGTAAAATTGGGGGAAAACAAAAATGCGCAGCGTGTATTGAGCTGTGCTGGGCTGGTTGTCTCTATGGTTATGGGACTGCTTAAGGGAGCGAGGAAACACTACCTCATTCCCACAGGCTGGCATCACATTCATCTTAATACCATGAATGCATCGTGGTGTCGTGACAATGGGATGGTCATGGCACCTGATACCATCCCATTGGGTGACATCACGTTTCCTTCAGTCTAGTGCGATGACGGCAGGTAACTCAGCATACATGAGAAATATTAAGCTATCTGATGCACTCGATTAAAAAAGAAATATTAGAATCAATAAGTGTCATTTTTACAGCCCCCAAAACATCGAGCACACCTTAATTCAAACAAACTTTCAAGGCATAGGTGCAGAAAGTGAAACGACCGAACTGAATTCCAATGTCTTTGACGTCACATTTTCCACGCTGCTTTTTGGTTTTGGTCTAACTTGGTTCCTTTCTGTCAGCAAACGTGCTACCGCAGCAAAATATTAACGGAGTGGTGAGTCAAGACCATAACCTAACACTTGATGTGAACAACACATTTTATTTTTGTGCCCAAGATTTTATATATCCAAAAACATTCGTAGCTAACTGAAACAGTTCTGTACAAGCAGTGCAACATTCAACAGCTCGAGTGACTATGCAAGTGTTGCATGCAGCCCCCTACTTTGCTTTAGGTAGTTATATACTAGTCATATTCCTGGCTGTGGATCCTGTGGAAAGGTAAAGCAGTCTGGCAACATTCAATGCAGAGCGCAAGTTCGTCCACTTCTTTTGCAGGGGTTGCGGTGACGTCAGAACGCCGAGCTTTGATTGAGGGATAGTGGGTAAACCTCAAAGCAAGCAGCCTCGAGGTCTACCCACTATCCCTCAATTACAGCCACTCTGATCTCGGCGTTCTGACATCACCACAAGCCCTGCAAAAGAGGCGGACAAACTTGCGCTCCGCATGACTCTTGGACCCTGGGTTCAAATTTTGAAAGGAGGGTTAGAAACGTTGCCAGGCTACGAGGTGCAAGCCCAATTGCAATCATCCACTCATCCATCCTACGACCATGGCGCCTGGAACACGCCTCGGGCGTGTTCGGCGTCCCATTTCACCCGTGCATCGAAAGCGGTCCCAAAGTGGCAAAAAACGACGTCACCAAATCCGGAACGTCGTGCCGTCGGATACAGCAGTCCCGGCAGTTGGGTGCAGAAGTTCAGGAAAAAAAGCATGACAGAATGCGAGCGTCGTCGCTCTCATCGCGGTGTCCCAACTACCAGCTGCTAAAACTTCCATGGACCGTCCAGCCAGAGAGCAATCCGCAGTGGGACAGGCGTCTGCCACATCCAACGCCGGTGCCGCGACACCAACCGGATCGCGGCCGGCGACGGCGTGACGTTTTTACGCAACTTTTGGCAGAAGTCGACGGACCACACTCGAGAAAGTGGTAAAAGACTTGCCCGGGCAGCCCGAGAAGACGGCGAATGCAGGAACCACGGTCTCGGGAGCCAGCACCGTGTTGTCGGCAACCATGCAGCAGTCCTTGAGGACACAGCGGCGACCCTGAGTCGGCGCGGAGGAAGAGCGGACATAACTGATAACGACCGAGTTGAGAAGTGTGTTGGTAGTGGTGAGGGATACCATGGAAGAGCTAACAAATGGAACTATGCTCGTGCACGTTTCGAGCGAGTAAATAGGTATGATTTGCACAATTCCGGCGATAAGTACATTGGATGAGAATAAGGGTTTTCCTGACAACAATTTCGTAGACGTCGCACTGAAAGAAAGAAGAGACAAAAGTGCACGAAATTGACGGGCGCGATTATTCAAACTCTGATTTTTCATACTTCCGGTCAATTCAAACAAATTTAGAAATCTTGGTTGCCCTTTTGCCATGTTTTGTACGTAATGATGAGCCGCTTAGTTCGAACAGCGTTTTCATGTAATCCATACTTTCTGTTCTCGTGGCCCCGTTCAACATGCTTCTTACCGAGCACCGATGCACTGCGGAGAAGCAATGCCCCGTGGAGCTCGCTTCTGCGGGTGTTGCTCTACCGCAGTGCACCGGTGCTTAGTAGGAAGCGTGTTCAACGAGACTTATAGTCTAGGATAGACACCATTTTTTTTTATGGATGAACAAAACTAATATTTTTTACGTGTCATGTGCTGTCTAAACAGTCCTCGATAGACACACTTTTTGAGGGATGAATGAACTTATATCGTACATTATGTAGATATAAGTTAAAGAAAATCCTCCCATATCTGCTTTGTACATGTAATCATCCATATAACAAACCCTAAAGTTATTTTGCATCATATCTCGATGTTCCCAATAATTCAAACAAAATTCGTGGCTTCCTAGAGTTTGAATTAATGAGTCTACTGTAGAGGAAAGCTCGCAACAAACTGCTGGTGTCGGCTCATTTGTGCACTGCATACAAGGAAGTAGAGATGAAATAAACGCAAGGACAAAGACAGGCCAAAACAAAACAAAAACACAGGGACGAAGATAGATTAAAAAAAGGTACACCACATCCTGTTTCGGTCTACCTTCATCTTTGCATTTATTTCGTACACAAGCTCGCCCTCCCGGCCGCTTCCCCAACTCACAATGACGCAGTTCTTTCCGATGAAAACAAAAGAGCCCACGTGCGCTGCATTCACCACGCTGCCCTCGTCTATGAAGACGTGGTCCCCAATCTGCAGGGGGAAGAAGGCCACCCTGCGAGAGAAGGGACACCCAATCGCAGCGCTGGCTTCCAATCGGGAATATTCACGCTAGAGCTGCCACATAGGCTACGCTTCGAGCGCGGCCTCTCAAACTTTTAGGTCTCGAGAAACTCCCATCTACCCTAAATTACGGCGCCAGGAACACGTCTTAGTACCAGCCAGAGACCCGTTCCAGGCAGCGTACCTACGTGGCAGCTGAGGAATTCCTCTCAGTCTTGACACAGATGCGGCACAACATTGCAGGAACATTCGACGTAGAGCATTCGACGTAGAGCTGCGCATCGATCGGTGGGTCAGATGCTGAGAGAACACTTCACTTGGGTGCAGGGACAGTCGGGGAAAATTTGGGAGTTCAGGGAACCCGCCAAGGTTCTCGCGCAAGCTATGGGTTCCCGGGAACCCGGATAGAGAACCTGCGGCTCGGGTTATCGACGCCTTGTTCCCCGACTGTCGCGTGGGTGTCGCCATTTTGTTGCCTAGTGCAGGGCGGATGCAAGTGGCGATAGTTACGATTTGAGAACGTGGTTTATCTATCTTTGGATACCGTGTCGGGAAGCTTCGACGATACTGTCGCAGACGAAAAGGGATCGGCAAACGTAAAACTGAAATTAAAGATTTAATTGGCGAACTAGAGCCAGAAGCAAGAGAGGGAATGTGCGTCGAAAAAGCAGAAGCGGGCATCGAGGTGTTGGCATCACAGCTGGCTAGGGCCGAATTCATTTGGCAAGGTCACGGTGGGCTCCTCATCTTATTGAATACACTCTGCATCTCAAACATTCGGCCTAGAATGCTCGAGCGTCGAACATTCAGGGTAAGGGTAAACACGAATCTGCTAGAAGTATGGAGAAGAACGAATTAATAAAAGTAATGTCCAGCGCCGGGCATCGAACCCCGGATGCCCGTGCGAGAGCCACGGGTGTTCCGTCTCGGCTGTGCATGCGGCAATGTCATTTCGCTCACCCCTTGCTAAACTTCTTGAAGGGTGGCCGGATGACGGAGCTGCTGCTGATGACGCAGTGGCGACCGATCCTGACATTGGCCAGGTCCCCGCGTATGATTGACTTGGACTGGATGATGGTCTGTGAGGGAACGACGAGGTTAGCCCCTAAAGTATTAGGTCTCAAAACTCAAACTCAAAACTATCAAAGAAATTTTCACCCGTCTCGCTCGAAATTGAGGTTAGAGGCAGCGGTAAAGCAGAATGTAATGCGAGTTACTTCGCAGGGACGCTACACAGAAGAATGTGGTATGCACTGTGTGCCTTGATGGCACAAAAATCGTTGTGCATAGTATATCTCTGAAAGAAAGCCCTGCCACAGCTAGCATTCCGACGGTAGTGGAACGCTAAGTTTGCGGCATTTCCTGTCGCACACCCCCCCCAGCCTCGACTCTACTACCATAAAATCCAGTGAGATGCCCCAACCCCGAAAGATACCCCACCCACTATTTTTGGCAATATTTGCTATTTCTTTAAAAGCACAGAAAGATAGCCTACTTATCGTAATTGCAGGGCCCTGGCCAATGGTGACCTCTGCAAAAATGGAAAGGTGCTACTTGGCCATGGCGGGAAATGAGCGAACATTTCTGACAGAAGAGGACGGTCGTCTTTAGTTGGTACTTCGATATCCGCCCGATGATGTCATAAAGGCGTCATGCTGTGGCCGGCCATGAACCTGACGGTGTCGCAACATTGGTGGCAGATTTTGCAGATGCCCATTTTGCTGCAGGTCGCTCTCCAGCTTGACAGCCCGTGGGAGCTTTGACAGCTACGAGTTGAAAGCCCTCGACGTGCGCATTCTTCCGCACTTTTTACCAGAACTGCGCCCAACCGCTGGGATCGCGACGATCGACAGCACAACGCTCGGGCTTTTTTCGACGTCATTCGTTGCCGCATCGGTGCCACTTTCGACGCGTGGGCGGAACGGGACGCTAAACACATCCGTCAGAGACGCGACACAGGCATTGTGGCCATTAAACACTGACGCAGCAGTAGTGTGACGCCTCTCCAGTCACAGCCGTGCGTTTACTAGAAACTGCTAGGAGCTCCCATACAACACATTTCGCTCTAAAAAAATCTTTATTTTGCTTCTTTCGGTCTTGTATTTTAGTTCGACTTCAGACGGGGTCAATTTCTCTCAAGACGGCACAGTTGCTGGTCGCTTGCGACTAACTTCCTGGGAGCGTAAGAGCCGACGACTCTGCTGCGGCGGCCAATCGCGGATGCAATGGTTTCCTGTAAACACGTGTGGTGGAGGGGCTAAAGGCGGGATCAGACGAGATTTCGGTTTGCTACAGGTCATTTTCGCGAGCTAGTGGCCTTCGATGGGTCAGTTAGTACTAACTTACGGTATGATTTAAAAGTATAAAAAGCTTTTTGAATAGTTGTCCACCTAAACGGTGCGAGAAAATTTAATCTTTAACTACGGTGGCGACAAAATGTAGCCCTCGCCGTTTCAATGCTTGCCACATGCAAATGCGGGAGACCCAAGCTGCAGCTGTTCGAATATCGAGACGCAGGAAAAAGTTGTTCTGCGCTTTGCACTGCATTTGCACTTTGCCAAAACTTGGCAAAGTGCAAACGCAAAGGCCTCTTCGAGCCATTCAGCACATCGGAGGGAGCTGCGTGACTACACTCTATCTCACCAGTTAGGGAAGTGCTGTCGAAGCAACGGGCGGAAGAAGGAGCAAAGCCGCTTTCGTATGAATCCTGAGTGATGGACTAATCTCCGAGGGGGACGAAAGAGATGTCTGGGACACACAAAAGAGGGCCCGGGTTATGAGGAGAGTTCCAGCTTCCCTTCTTCTCCAACTGCTCAAATTGCGTTCCCACCCCCTACCCTTGGCAAAGGCTGTCACATGCTCCGCCTCCGTTGCTCCGATTGGCTCGAGGTGGTTTGTAGTGTTCACTCTTTGCCAGGTTATGGTGGAATGAAATATAGCACAGTGGACGTACACCCCCACACTCTTTAGTCCCAAAGTCGAGGATCATCTTTTGCCCCACGTTGATATAAACAAGCGCTCTTCCCTTCCTGTTTGGCCAGCACGAAGAGAGAGGGAAGGGTTACCAAATCTATGTACTCTCAAATACTTTTTTTTTTTTTTTAAGACTTTAGTAAAGGTTTTGTACAGAGGTTTCTACAAACCAGCCAGCCAAAGTTTGGCTAAGTCATCGGAGTGTGGCGGGAGCCGCAGAAAAGCAGTGCTTGGGATTGCGTACCTTGCCATTGAGGACGATGTTGTGGCTGCCGCAGAGCACAGAGTTTCTGCTGACTTTGTTTCCAGATGCCTGAACAAAAAGAAAATAAAAAAGGGCGGCATCGTGTCATCAATCCAGGTGTACTTCGTTTCACCACAAGTTCGGACACAGCCGATGGTACGAACTGATGGGACCAATCAGAGAGCATCAAAAGCGCACCATGATGGTGTTCGTCATGTTTCCGTACGTGTCCTATTAAACAGAAAAGGCATAGCGACTCGCGTTTTTGACGCTGCTCGATCCATCCCGTTACCTCGTAGCATCAGTTACGTCCGGAGTTGAGCCGCAACCATAAGTATGGTATACGCCGATCTGACTTGGGCCTCCCTGGATGCAGGACTGTGATGACTGCGGCACCATCTTTGTCCAGGCATTTCGGAGAATCTGAATGCGTCTGGTTCCCGCCCGGCCATGGTGTGGTGCTCGGAGCGCGTCCCTGACCTGCGTATTTACCGCGCCCTCGAGGGCGGTCCCTCGACTTCCGCCCAACAAAGTCGCGGAAGTGCAATGCCCGCACCCGATGCGGTCCTGGTAGCGATGAAGCGGGAAAAGCGGACGTGAGCGACGCTTCTTCCGCCGCCAGGCAGTCCACGAAAACCGAAGCAGACGCGAGACAGGAGGCCACGACGAATGGTGACCCTCCCATCCGCTCTCCGTTTTTGCCGGCACTTCCATGACCAATTGCCGGTATCGCAAAGTTCGACGGCACGACGTGCCGACCCCTGCGACGCGATTTGCTGCTCCTTTGGGACCACTTTCAATGCCTGGGCAGAATGAGACGGCTTCCGGGCGCAGTAGTCACAGAGCCCGTATAATTAATTTAGAAGAAAAGGTCCGCCGTTTTCCTCCCACAAAGTTCGGCCACCATGGGACGGCGGGGCATGGAAACCGACGTCGGTGGCCCCGGCAGGCCCAAAGCTCCAGCGAGCCCTTCAACGAACGCGAGGAAACGGCGAACTGTCGCTCACAAGGCTGTGGCCGGTCTTTTCCGGCTTCGTTATGGATAGAAAACACTTGCATTGTACATTCCTGAAAGAAAAACCGAGGCTGATGAAAAGTCTAACGAGCTGATCACACCCAACTTTTCATCCGCTTTCTTTTCCTGGTTTTTTAGACGCCACCTTGCTTATTGGTTCTCTGTTTACAAGACCTCAGAGTTTGGTCCTGCCCTTGGGGGCCCGGTTTCTTCGAGTTTATTTATCCTATAGGTGGAACATGAAGGCAGAGTGCAATATCGACACTTCCAGATACATTGCATTTTCAGGCAGATTAAACACCAGATCATCTCATGCGCGTTCAATGGTGGACTATCAAGTGCGATTGGACACATTCAAATACTCCTTTTTCCCTAGGACCATTGTTGAATGGAACAAGCTGCCCGCTGATGTTGCCGATTCAGACTCTGTTTACTATTTTATCGATAAAGCCACTGTCTTTTTTTTTTCAAAATAGATTGAAATTTTTTTTTCTCATGTTTAGATGACTTGTTAATGGTTACTGTTTTGTATGCTGGGTGCTATATACATTGTATAACATTTTAGGCCACATTTCTTCATGCTGAGTCACCAATTCAGACTCCGTATTATTAATATTTATTGTTTTGTATGCTGGGTGCTATTTATATTGTATAATGTTTTGGGACACATTATCCCTGGTGTTCAATGGTATTCTTTTTGTATTCTTCTGCCTCTCCTACCACGGCCCTTTGGGCCAGGTAGTATTGATAAATAAAATAAATAAATCTCTTTCTTCAAGAACTCCAAATAGTAGCTGCTTTTGCCGGCACGGCGGGTATAGCCAGTGCAGCTGGTTCGCCGTCTTAGTCGACATAACGGGTGTTCCTTCCCATTCTCCGTAAATTATCCAAGCATAATTATCCATTCACATTGAGTCAATGATGGTAAATTAATACTGTCGAAAGAATTTCTAAAAATGATTGATATGTGCATGCCCGACACTTCAGTTTTGGCGGCGCATTTTTGTGCCGTACCAAATGTCACCTGCCGATTGCTCTGCAAAAAAAGAAAATATAGTCATTAAACTAGTATAGTTCATCTAGACATTGAGGGACTGTTTTGCTTAAGACTTAAGCCAAACCCTGCTCTCAGTTCGGTCCCAGTTTGAGCGTCGTCCCGAGATCCCTGGCCATTCGCCAGCAGGCACGGCTGCTTTTTAATCCCAAGAAGTCTTTTTGGACCAAATTTAACAGCCGCCGGCATTGTGTGTCTAGACCGGTGAGGAATTTCTGCAGTGCACACAAGCTGCATTCACATTTATCCTATTTGGCAGCGTGGTATTTAACTTACGCTCTTTCCTGATCGGCACGACCAATAACGGCAGAATGCTGCCCACTTAATTCGTTCCTCAAATCTACCATGGAAGCGAAAAACCCCGTTAGGCTAGCAAAAGGACGCTTGAAATTGTCTAAGCAGCATGCGTTCCCACATTGCGCACATGCTAATCCAGTCATTTTTAACAATCCATTCAGTGGAGCAGACGACGTCTCGAGGGAAAGGACAATTGTTGCAATCTGATCTGGGGGGTGTTTTTTCTCCCTGCTCCCACCTAACTAGAAAGGTGTCTCAATTACGCCATGCAAACACCCCAAGGGGAGTGAATAAATGAGACTTGTGGTTTAAATCTATGGCAACTTGACTATTTTGTCACGCTGACAGGAAACAAATCATTTTTCATGTTATACCAACTTTACAGATGCGATAAAGGCTAGAATGGAATGCCTAGGGTTCCAAAATGACTTTTGCTGTGCACCATTCTAAGAAAGCAACAAAAAAAAGTGTTTTTTTGCCGTTTTATTTTTGGTTGCACTGGAAAGTTAACCTTACAAAGAAAAAAAATATATATATATTTAACAAGCTCAGTGGCTATGGTCCGTTCTCCCCAAGAGAAACTTAAATAAAATCTTAAAAAAAAAAAATTATTTATTTGCAAGACAAAAATATGATCTGGGTGATGTCCAAGGCTGTGCAGGAAGGTTAGAACCCGTACGTGAGTGCGTCTGACAGCCCGCCACCCAGAAACGGCAGAGAACGAGCAGTAGCTCAACGTCGCCAGAAGATGGTATTGTAGCAGAACGTCAACTGACGTTTGGACGAAGGAATGTGAGGAGCTATTGAAGTATAAGGGTAAATAGCTCGCCACTACAACCGATTTACTCGTAGACGAATTTTGCTGTGGAGTAGTGGTGACAGCTTGTCGCTTCACCTCTGCAAGGCATTCGCTGAGAGCGGAAGGTGACCAGAAACCGTCTATTGCTCCCTAGGATGACTCACCGTTTCTATGTAATCCTGCTTGTTGTACCACACGTCTACGACATCCATTTCTAGAGCTGCCAAACCAACAGCAAGAACCGAGCAAAGCTGCAGACGCCCGACCCAAGCCAACCCATAAGCTATGAATAAGCCAGTCAAGCAGCCAACCCACCGGCCAAGCCACAAGCAAGCAAGTCCAGAGTCGACAATAGCCTAGCCTAGCCCAAGCTGACGTTCATTCAACGCTTTGTGGCTTTGTCGAGCAATATTTTATGCATAAAGTAAAAATATGACCGAACAAACTAATACAATTCGCCCTCTGTTTAATTACTAATTTACCATAAGGCTGTCTACCAACAGGAGAAGTGTTACAAAGCGAAATGTGACCAGGCTCGCGGAGCTGTGATCGACCATATTTGCGGCATTAATAGTTTTGATTTCGTTTATTTTTATTTTTTACAGATAACTTGTCTTTTCTTTCAACAAAGAATGCCTAGTCATACAAAACAATAAGAGCAGCAAAACCTATAAAATGAGATCGATTTCAATCATGTCGGGTTAAAAAAAAGAAAGAGAGAGAGAAAGCGGCGGTGTGTCACGTGGGTAAATATTTATCTTTTTGAGCTCGCCGCGTATCATCACAAAAGCACATTCCGCGCCGCATTTTATCTCCCCATTTCGCATCGCGAACATCCGATTTGTTAAACCCGTGTAGTTCAAAGCTGATCTGAACGATCCCCTGACGAGCATTATATATCACACGCATGTTTTCGAGACCAGAGTTGTATGTGGGCTGCTCAAGCAAACCTCAGTGACCAACATTACTCAAGCGTTGTAGCTTCCTGCTAAATCCAACTGAAACAAGCCCCGTCAAAACCAACAGGAGTCCTAACTGTTCGATCGGGTTTAACCATCCCCGCGAAACGAGAACGTTGACGCCGTCTGTGACAGCGCGCACGACATCATTTTATTTTTTTTCTCGTGCATTTTATATTTCGTCTTCGGACGGGCAACGTTTCGCGTCGCCGCTTCTTTTCCTCTTGCTGAAAAGGCGACCCCAAAAAAAGCGGCACACCAGTTTGGACCAGTGAGGCAGCAGAGAGCGGCGTCGCCGAAGCACCTGCTTTGGTTTGTTTACAAACACAGCCCATTTCCTACCCCCCACCCCAACTCGCACTGTTTGGGAGCTCGCGGAGACGGAAGCGGAAATAGGTCCCTGCGCCCTTAAGCCAATCGCGGCGCGGGAGCCCACAACCACGGACCAATCGCGTCGCTCGCCGCGCCTCTGACGTCACGAACGGGAGATCCTCGTCGGTCCGGTGCCTGGAAAAAACAGAGGTGGTGGTTTTCGCGGCTGGCCACGGGCAGGGGGAACACAAACCGGACGGTTATGGATTCGTTGCGGGAACAGGTGATGATTAATCAGTTTGTCCTGGCCGCCGGATGTGCCAGGGATCAGGCGAAGCAGCTTCTGCAGGCGGCTCACTGGCAGTTCGAGGTAAGGGCATCCCCTATCCTAACATCAACCCCCCCTTCCTTCGCGACTAGCCAACATGGCTACAGCAGCGCTAGCGACGTGCTTCGGAGCGTTTGGAGGGGTCTAGCTCGCTGACGCTCGCTCCGCTTTGCCGTTTCAGACTGCCCTGAGCATATTTTTCCAAGAAGCAACCGTGCCGAGCTGCCATCCTCACGCGGGTCACTTCAGCGCGGTGAGTGGGGTTCAATGGGAACCTGCGACCACTACGCCGTAGACGTGCATTTGGGGCTCGCTCTGCGCCCGCGCGCAGTGGGGGGGGAACAACCAACCCCCCTTCTTTTTTTCCCCCCTTCCCTCGGGGAACTCTTTAAATGCGACCACGTGCATTTGTTGTTGGAATTTTGGGAGGGTGGGTGTTGATGGTAGCTGGAGCGTTGTACTGATTGCACCGACGAAAAGCGTTCGTGTGGAGGTGACGGTGCGTGCAGTCGGCAAGACGAGAACGTGAGCCACTTCCGGCGGCTGATAAGCGTTGTTGTGCGGCCAGTTATCGTGTCTAGCGTTGCCCCAACTTTCCGTAGTCTTTCTTTCTTTCTTTTTTTTTTTTTTAATATATATATTATCACTTGGTTTTGACACGAAAGAGGTAGAAAGAACGAAAAGAAAAACAAGAGAACGAGTCATTCGTCGTTCATTGGAAGTTTGTTGATGGTATACAAACTTCTCTCTCTGGTGATATCGTACGCTCCTCTTTATTGTTTTATTGTGTAGCTCGTTTCCTTAACTAATAACACCGATAACGATTTGCACCGTAATTGTCCTTTTGTCGCAGTGTATATTTGGCTGGTTTCGTGCCATTGTTTTATAGACATCCAAAAATGCTAAATCACTAGTTTTTTTGTTTTTTTTTTTAAATCTGTATTTAATGGTGTCTTAGTCATGTCACGTGAACACTCTCACGCGTTTTGTATTTGTTTTGTCTTTTTTTTTTATCTGCCCCACAACTGGTTTTGATTTCACAAACGGAAATTGTGCTTTTTTTTTTTTTTTTTTTTCTTCCCGTAACGTTGTGGTTGCAGGGGATTTCGTCACCGCAGCATTAAAACGTGCGGTGATTTTCTTTTTTTTATTGCCCAAGACAACTATGCCATCTCGGTTACTTTTCTGTGCAGTTTTATTTTGTGGTTCTTATATATTTTCTATTACTCATTATCACACAGCAGTGTTGACTCAGCTAACTTACTCAATTGGTTCTTTGGGTGTCTAAAGCAAAACTCGCAAAACTGGTCCAAGCACTAATATGATTGAAGTGATAATGTACCGCTGTTGCCGACTGTGCTGTCATCAACCTGTTTCTGTTGTCTGCTAGATCCCGTCTGCCGCTTTGCTTGGGATACCTGTTCATTAAAGGAATCTAGCGTAGTAATAAATATATTTCTTTATAATAAGTGACGAGTACATAATGTAGATTATTACACAATAATTAATAGGGTGCAAAAAAAGAAAAAAAAGGGGACATAAGTTGTTTAAAATTTAGTATGTTGGTTACAAGATCTGCCGCCGTAGCAGACGACGCGTCCTGCGCTGTCTGCTACAGCCGGAAGGCTGTTGCGTTTGAGACTTCGTCCGTTTCGTCCTCTTCTGTTTATCTTTCGCAACGCCGAGTTTCAACATCACCAAATCGATCTCCGCGCAGCAACCCGAGTTTCCTCCGCTCTCGCCGAAAATTTCCGGTACGGCGCACGGTACAACTATGGTGTTAAATGCTGCGTTTACACCCTTTTACGCTCGAGATAACGGTGAGGGGCGAATATAATTTCCGGTACGGCGCACACCCTAAACTAGATTGTAAACTGCTGCGTCTACACCCTTTCACACTTGAGATACTGTGAGGGGCGACGAGAATTTCCGGTACGGCGTCGCACACCCTAAACAAGGAAGGTGTTAAATACTGCGTCTACACCTTTTCACGCTTTAGTGTGCCCTGTGACCTTTAAAAATGGCGTTCATGCTAGTCATGCAAAAGCCACCATAAAGTCGCCATGCACAACGGGCTTTCGAGAAGCATCTATCGGACGGCGTTTGACGGTGTGATGCAACTCGCCGAAAGTCTCGCGTCGTCTGCTGCGTCGTCCTGCCGCGGCGCGTTTCCGCTACTTGTGTATTTGTGTCTGATTTGTAGCTGTTTCACGGGAACACGGCGTGAGAGCGGTTCGTGACGGGCATAAGCAAGCCGTCGGCGGTTGCCAAAGGAGAGGCGGCGCGGAGGAGGGAACGGGAGACTGCTGCCAGACTGCGTGAGACGGGAACAATCGAGAGCACGAGGCGGCAATCATTAGGCCGGCTGGCAGCGAAAATGATCGTGCCGCAAAATGCCGCCGCCGGCGTCATCCGAGCTCTGCGTCAGCGTCTGCCGTGCGATCGTCTGCTCTCCACGCTGTGTTTTCGGTCGCTATCTTGTCTGCTTTGCCCGATCGTCTGCTACCGAAGCTGCTACGTCCCAGCTTTCTTCCGTACTCCATTTTCGTCTGCTATCCGAGTTGTCCCGTCGGCTGTTATCGGCCGGTTATCCTGTCGTCTGCTCTGATCCGAACCGCTCACAAAGCTGCGGACGGGAAGCGGGTGTACTGTTTGTTTTTATTTTGTGGCGCGACAACGGTTTAAAAACCGGTGCGCGGTTGCGTCATCGACTGGGAGGGGCCCCCGCGTCCCAGTCCTCCTCTATGTCGACCTTGAGAATGCATCGCGTGGAAAGCTGGTCCGCGCCACGAGGTCAAGGTTGGCCACACTGGGCAGCGGCGCGCGTGTGACGCAACCGGGCTTTCGATCGCCGCTTTCGCCGCCTCCCCGGCTGAAACAAGGGCGGTCGAGATGTGGCGTGGGGACTGTCCGGCGAAACCCGGTCATGTCCGTCTGCCTCGCGCGTCGGTAAACAAAGGCCTGAAAGACCTTTGGGTTTCCTTCCGTCTCTCTCCCCGAATAACGTCACAACGTCGTCTGCTCTCAACTTTGAGAGGAAATCCCCACCCCTTGTGAAGCAGAAAAAAAGACGGTCTTTTACAAATAAATTTTATGAGAAGAGGCCACTTTAGTTTCCTTTGAAATCTCAAACTAGTGACAAAAGGAGGTCTACCTTTTAGTCTTAGTCGAGGTTCGTTCGGGACAGAGGGTTAAGGTACCTCTGGGTCACGGCCAAGGCCATTGTATAGGTTTCTACTCTGGATCATACTATTTGTGTGCTTAGAGGAAGGAGGGGTATTGTTTTTAGAACAGTGATAGCTATGGACTCGGATGTTTCAATGGAGAAGGAAGGCAGCTGAAGCTGCCATGCTTTCCAACGACCACGTTTATGAGTTTAGTTATTTCCGAGCATTGACTGTTATTGAGGTAACACTTCACAAAATTTGTTCTGGGATAGTTAGTATTGCCTATGGCAGAGTGCCAATGTTAAATGCAGCCGCAGAAATATTATTCGTTACATGTGAGTTCAGGTGAATTTAGTCTATGTTTATGTCCCGAACTGTATTTTGATTTTGAATTTTAAAAAAAAATTGGGAATAGAGTATTAAACTCTGAATTTCAGAGAATTTGGGAATCTAACAAAAATAAACTGCAATCAACCCCAATCTTTCATCCTCTAATTTCACAAAAACTAAACTCCAAAAACATGGAATACTAATTATAATTAGGGCTGGGCATCGATAAAAAATTTCACCCAATTAATCACCACCCTTTACTAAAATTCATTGATGGGCTAGTTGGTTGAATATAGTAAACGAAAAATAGCACAAGAACACGGTGGGGAGAAGACAGGGACAACACAGATCGCTACTAACAACTCACTTTTTAATATCTAGGAAAGGAGGACGAAGTTTACAGTAGTAGATAGAAAAGAAAACAACGAGAAAATAATAAACATCAAAATAGGAAAATAATTATTTGTAAGCTCTTTGTAAAAGAACGAGCTATGCACATAAATAAGTTTCTTGCGTTGACTAAGCATTAAAGAAACACAAAATAGAAAAGGAGAAAAAGACAAAGAAAGGGCAAAGACTCCGTTGCGAGTTGGCATTCCTATATACAAGTCTCAGGCTCAAATACTGTAGTTTCTTTGCTGGCAGGACCCTAGGGAATGTGCACTAACATAATTTTCGTCTTTGGATAGTATGACCTGCGCTTTAAAAAGTTCTCTCGCCTGCTTATCATGAAACCGCTTGGGGATTTGTGTTTGGGTAAATAAAGGCTTGCATCGGCAGTCACGAACGCGTATTGAAAGATATCCAAAAGGTGATGATTGCAGGGACAGTGCGTGTCCTTCGAGTCTTGTGTTCACACACCGGCCATATTGTCCTGCATAAACTTTGCTACAGTAAAATGGTATTTGGTTCACTATTTCGCGGAGGCAGTTAACATACCGGCGTGAATAATGAATTTCAGCGATTAGCAGAGTCAAGTGTACTGAATTTTAGTAATCAGCAGTCAACTTTACTGAATTTAAGTGATTAGCAGAATCAACTGTACTGATTTTAAGTGATTAGCAGAGTCAACTGTACTGAATTTTACTAATCAGGAGTCAGCTGTACTGAATTTTAGTGATCAGCTGTTCATCATACTGATTATGAGTGATTAGCCACAGCACTACTGTTTCCATATACTGCGTGTAGATTTGGGTAGGGATACCAGTGACATCTGCGGGCATGGCAGCCTTGCAGTCTCTGAAAATTGATATCCGAGTGTAACTGTCCGAACCCGCTGCTCACTGCTGACTGTTGGCGCGACTTGATTTCTTTTGGAGCCATAGCCTGCAAACTCTGCCAACAGAATAATGTTGCTTCCATCCCAATGCATCAAGATAATTTAATCATTGCCCACCTTGCCGAGTTTGTATTTTAAAATTTTGTTATTTGGAATTGATGTCGCGCTAGGATACTTTGCCGCACGTTTTCAATTCTGTCGGTGTCATAGTGGCCATCTACATTGCAGGATGCTGCCGGCAATTTGTTTTTCTAAGACAGCAAGACACACAATTCATCCCTTAGAAATAAAGAGAAATATAGGTATAGCCAAGAGTTGTTAGCACTCTTCTATACAGAGAGCTCGTTCTGTGTTGCGTCTTGTACACTAGTTAAACTTAAAAGAACATTAAGTTCCGGGGCATGATGTGTATGTCACCAAATAAACTCAATCCAAAAGAAGAAGTATTGCTAAACTCATTTTGTATTGCAACACAATTTTATTTCGAGGTTGTCTCAAAGTTTCATAATTGCTCCTTACTGAAAACATCTTGCAAAGTAAATGATAAAATTGTTGTCAAGGGGGGGGGGGGGGGGTTATAGACATGCCTGTCAAGACATTTAAAAACTATTTTTCTGGGGGTGGCGTTTGATCTTTTGAAGTGTCCCATTGACGTTGTGAAATGTTGTTATTCACGCAAAAGCTCCCATAGTAATCAACCCTCTATGGCATCAGGTGACGAATACTGTTTTTACATTGTGCGAATGGAAGCTTGCTGCCTTGATTGGCTCCTCAGCATTGCAGAAGTTTATTGTGCATGAGCAGCCAGTTCAGTCAGAAGAAGCCAGCCCACTAGTCACGGTAGACCTGTCAGCACTGGCAGTGAAAACAGCAGGGAATGTTATACAAATGCCCGGACTCCAGCTTGTACCCCACGCCTTCCGCCGTGTATTGGCTATATGCATGCGCTCGGAGTGCACAAGACGAAGCGTTGTGAAAGGTAGGGAGCTTGCGCTGGAGGCGGGACAACTGAAGCATCCCCTGCCGTTCTTACCGTCGGTGACTATAGCAAACGTTGACCCCTGAATGCTCCAATGCAGAACACCCGTAAGTGACCCGAGTTTTCCCGCCCGCAGATGTGCACGCCGGCCAACACGCCGGCAACCCCGCCCAACTTCCCAGAAACGCTGCTGTCCTTCTCCAAGATGACGGCCGGTAGCGGTTCCATGGCCACCCCTCCCCCGGTGGGCGGGTCCCCGATGGGGGTCACACCCCCCTGCATGGGAGCCCCACCCCCGCACCCCTCCCACCGCAGCCACGTGTACAGCACCAACATATCGTCGATGGGCGGCAGCAGCCACCAGTCTTCCCTGGGAAGCGGTCAGCGCTACCCCGGCGCCGTGTCGCCCTCTACGTCACCCCATGCCAGCATGGAGGTGGAGGCACAGCGATAGGTCTCCCAGCATGCAGCCGGTATGGTGCAGGCATAACACCAACCTGGTGCCGGTGTGGCTCTGACATGATGCCAGCGTGGGGTCAACACAGCGTCAACATTCTGCCGGTACAACACCATCATGATGCCAGCACCGATGCATTGCCGACGTGGTGCCCGACCATCACCGACATGACGCCGGCATTTTGAAACAGTACCAGATGGTGCCATGGTTGTCCCGACACAGCGCTGACACCAGTGAGGTGCTAACACAGCCCAACATGATGCCGGCACAGCCCCAACATGACGCCGGCGTGGTGCCCGCACGAACAGTGTGCGAAGGCCACCGCCCTGGCACAGTGCAAAAGAACCAGTGCGCGCAGAACAAAGAGCGCTTCGGCGGACTCCATTATTGTGTGCCCCGACTATGTTAGATGAAATCGCCACATGCTTTAGAAGTACCCCGTGATGGCAACAACAACAAAAAAACAACCAGTGTCGTCTGTCCCCTTCCGTCGTTTCCTGCGGCCGTGTGGCTTGGTGTCGTTTGTGCTGGAACACAACAGTGGCTATGTGTTGAGTGGTTCTTTTTTTTTCGTCTGTAGCGACTTAGCACGTAGAAGAGTGTGGGCCGATCGGCGAAGCCAGCGTCGGGGGGAAGGGGGGGGGGGGTGGGAGCACAATTTTGCCAAAAATGCCCCTTGTTTTTAGCTCTAGAGCGAGGTCACCAGATTTTAAAGGCAGCACAGTGGCTACCAGAGGCATGGCAATGCAAGCTCAAGCTGTATCTGTGGGCAGTCCTGTTCCCCAAAGTATTAAAAAGAATTTATTTGAAAAAAAAAAAATAATAATGACGGGTTCCTTTCTGTCATCTTTAAATGAACTGCAGCAGCAGCCAAAGTGTACCACACACAGACTGCAGACAGTCACACTAACCATAATGTCACGTGATATGAAACTGTGATGAGGCATTATGTGACAGATATCACACTTCGCAGGGAATTGTTCCAGCCATGACTACAGGAAACTACTGAGAACCCGCTGCAGAACCTCGTCATTAACGGCTGTTGCCGTGAAATGGATTTTTTCTCTGCATGGTCATCTGGAGCCTGCCACGTCTTAATGCAGCACCGTCATTTTGGCGCTGCAAACGCTCCCAACTCGTGCGCCGATGCAGATACACTACACTACATGTTTACCGATGAGGGCAGGGATGAATGACGAAGCAAAATTGTAAGTAATGCAAGCGATGACCACCACTTGACACTGGCTCTATGTGGCTCGCATGTGACGTGATCGCTTCATGCTGGTGGTCGTTCACACTTGTTTTTGCCAAGAAAAACAAATTTGAAGGTCCGCAAATGTAGGCAGTGGAAGGTACGTGCTCGGCAGAAAGGCCGCCCAGTGACTGCCAATGTTACGGGTAAGTGCAAGCCATGATTATATCTCTGAACTGCTCTGGCAATTTTGTTCTCTGTTTGTAGCAAGTCATTGTGGCTGTGAAGCAGATGTAGCAACTAGCTAAAGGGTCGGCAGGATGTTCGAAATTCCATGAGTGACTCCCATAGCTTCAGTCCCAGAGTACAAGACCTGGCCTTGTTTCATGCTTATTACGATGAAAGCAGCTTTCTTTCCGAAGCTTTATGTGCCTGGTGTGACATTCCAAAGGATGCCCTACCCCTATTTCTGGTAATTTTTTTTTTGTTTTCAGAAACACGAAGACAGTTTATTTTTAGTATATAATTACAGTGCCTGGGCCAATGGTGACATCGACCAAAAAGAGGTTAGTTAGCTACGGCAGGAAATAAGCAAACATTTCCGACTAAGGAGAAAAGTCGTCCGTGCTTCATTGCCCCCCATGTGAGAACAAGTTTAGCAGGTGGCAAAATACTAAAATAGCTTTGTTCTTTGTTTTGTTTTTTCGATTGCACATTCAAAGCTAATTCGCTCTCAATTTTAGGCAAGCCATCTGTTGGGATATTACGGCGAGCTCGGGAGGACGTGGACTGCAGCCAAAGACATAATTGCTCCACTTTGCAGACGAGTCCCGAGGTTGCGTCTGAAGCACTCAGGACGGACGGCAGTCCCGGGTCCTGCCACAGTAGGCACACAATTTGCAGTCGGGCACATGTACTGCGATGAACACTTTTCAAAGGCCCGTCGAGCAGCGCTGGCGGTCACCATTTCTTGGGCCACGTGACGCGCGCGATCGGATCCGAGTCCTTGCCGACGCAGCACTAGTTTTCGAAGCGAGCCGAGCCAAGCAGACTTCACGCCGAACGCCGACGCAAACTCTGCATCCAAAACGTGCTCCGAGTGTGTGCCCAAAACAATGGTGGACTCCGATAATCGATGCAACAACCACTAGGTGGCAGGCACTTTTGAAAAGGGTTTATTGACGGACTAGGGCAGGGGTGGCCAAGCTGCGGCTCTTTGAGTGTTAAAGTGCGGCTCGCGGTTCCCCCCCCCCCCCACCCTCCCTCCCCTGTACCCCGCCTCCCTCCCGGTCACACGAGCACTTCTCCAAAAACATAAATGGAACACGTTTTAAATCGAAATATAGGCTGTGGTTTGTGCTGCTACCTTAAGTACAGTTGGACTGCTGTTGACTCGGATAAATTGAAAGTAGTTCGCATTCCGTTTATTGCTCTTGACAAAACTCCTCTCCTCTCCTCCTCCTCCTCCTCTCCCCCTCTCTCTCTCTCTCTCTCCCCTCCCCTCCCTCCCCCCCCTCCCCCCCCTCCCTCCCCCCTCCCCCCCCCCCCCCTCCCTCCCCCCCCCCCCCCCCCAATTTCCGCGGCTCTTGGAAGTTTCGTGATATTGTTTGAGGCTCTTAGGCCGGGTCAGTCTGGCCCGGCCTAAGAGCAAACAGACTTGGACAAATGCATGGCATTTGGCCACGAGTAGACAGACATTTGGAAAGGGACGTCTCGGAGTAAAGGCCCATTCACGCGGGACCATTTGTTGAAGATTTCTTGCATTATAATACGAGTGGGGTTCTGTGTTTTCAGATAAATCCGAAAGGCTCTCGCCAGTGAAATTTTCGTCAATTCAGATTTATCTGGAAAACTCCGAATATTGAAGGTTTGCTGGCAAAATAAAAGGCTCGAGGTATACCTAAGCACTTTTTACGAGTTGTGAAAGCGAAAGCATGCAAGCCTCTCGTCCGCTCCCTTGTTTCGTCTGCGGCATACTTTTCGTCGCCAATCAGCGCACGCGCTCTCCTGGGTGCGCTGACCTTGGACGCTCCGTGTTAACGGCGCGCTGACGGACACGCAGCACCATGGGGTGAGCGGTTGCCGAAACTGACATGCAGTGGCCAATGGGAGCCTCATCGACGCGCGCCACCCATGGGGATTGAAGCCGAAAATCCATCAGCTTTACTCCCCTCCTCTAGGATCGGGGAAACTAGGTGCTGTTGGCTAGCTTTTCACATGGTTTCATAGCTGGGAGCTGGCTTCACTTTGTGGGGATTCCTGTGATCTCCCTTCCCCGACGGCTGTGATAACGGCCGCGGGTCGGAACACTCTGCCTCCTTCGCCGTGAGCTCCGACCTGTTCGTGAAGCGGAGGGCCGCCTGGCTTGGGGGACCCTCCTCTCACTCTCTCCCGGGGGGACCTCTTTCCGTCCCCCCGCTCGGTTGCGGATCACTGCTGACAGGCGAGGAGGTTTCGCCTCTTATTTTCCCGCTTTCGGGAAAGGGACTCGTCCGGGTGACCGCGAAAGAGATAGGACGTGCATCGGCGACTTCTCCGATGCTTCCCCGGTCTTGGCTCTCCGGAACCCCGCGTCTGACCAGGCAAGGACCTTTTCTTACCTTGCCGGCGCGGGGGGCATTTTGGATGGGGACATTGTAGTTCGTCTAAAAGAGTATGTTAATAAATGCTCTTGGACTCTGTCCTTACTCTGGTACGAGTGTCTTCTCTTCCGCTATATTCGAGAGAGTGAGACAAGGTAGACGATCATTGGCACCGACGGAGGTAATTAATCGAACCGACCCGCGGTAATGTAGCCCTAAACGTCGTCTACATTGCCGCGGAGATGTGGGGACCGCGGGCTACTAGGTCGGAGGGCTCCTTTGAGATCGCCGCCGCTGTTGAGACAACCCTTTGGTTACTCCATCGGCACCTGTGTTACTTGGTAGCTAGCAAACATCCCACAACTTAGAGAAAGGATCTAAGGTACCGTTTGGCGTGGCTCGCTCCATGAGACAGTTAATGCTTTTGCATTAAAAAGCAGAAAAAGGGTATATCACTAATAAATTGTGCGAGAGACCAGGATTGGTGGTAGTGAGGAGAGGGCGCTTCGGTTTCTTTTGAAATCGTAACACTAATGACAAAAGAAAGGTTACCGTTTATCTCGTCGAAGTTCGTTCAGATTAGCGGGTCGTAATACTTCTGGGTAACGACAAAAGGGCTCCCTTCCGGTCTCCACCTTGGAGCATACCAGAGAGTTTTAGTAGATCGTTTTGGCACGCCCGCTACGCTATACGCCAAAGCGATGACAATGCTGCGCACGTGCGGCACTAGCGGAGAACTATCAGAGCTGCCGAAGCTAGCGGAAGCGCGCTATTTTACGAAAGTTGCGAGAAACTTGGCACGCGTAGCGCGGTGCCCTAGCATGGGTCTCGCGAGAACGGGTCTTGGTGCGATTGGGGACAGGCCAGCGAGGAAAGCAATTCAAGATGGCCGCCACACCGTGCCTGTCCGCCTCGGGATCGCGGTTCAGCTATTTCTCGCTGCTGCGAGAAATAGCTACGACAAAGCCGTTCCAGGACTGCAACGGGTAGCGATTTATGGCGGACATGCTAAATACAGCCACGGGGGGAAAAAGAGACGCTCCACAATCTGTGGTGCTGTGAGCGAAGGATGCTTTTGTCGTGAGGACAGAACCGACCTAAGAAGCGAGCAAGCATGCGGATACGAGGGATTTCCTTGGCATTTAATTTTCGGTGCACAGTGAGAAAGGGGAAAGAAAGACAGATCGCAACGACACAACAGAAGAGCTACGGTTGTTGTCATTTATTCTTGAAGATTTCTCTCGATGGCTTTGGCACTTGAGCCGTATTGGATCGGCCTGGTCAGCTTGGCCATCGGTTGTAGGCAATTACAGACATAATAATTATTTACTTAAAAAGGAATCACTAAGATTAGCACTCTATTCGATAAAGAGAGAATATTCTATTTAGATGGCAACAATAATAAAAAAAAATTGCAAAGAATTGCTTTACAAACCTTTGTTTTACGCGAGCCTTAGTGTCTGAAGGTGCCGCTAGTGGCGTTGCATTAGCTCCCGTAACGCTGTAATCTGTAGTGGGTTGCCAATTGTTCTGCCAAAACTTGAAATGGCGGTTCTGCCACGCTACATATAGCGGAGGTCGTAGCAGATTGCGGATAGCGTAGTGGGGGTGACTGCATGATCTACTAAACTCCACTATTTGTGCTTCTTGCAGGGAGGAGGGGACATGTGCTTTTATAACATTGAAGGCTGTGAACCTGCAGATTTCATTGTTCAATAGGTTCAATAGCGGTTTATTGCACTCCAAGCATGCAACAAAAAAAAAGAATTGGAGGGGGGCGGGCCATTTGGAGCTTCCCAGCGACTACGTCCCATGTGTTTAGTTATTTCAAAGTACTGACAATAACTGAAGCAACGCTTTGCAAGGTTTTCTCGTGGGACAGTTAGTATTGCCAACAGCAACGGTACCAATGCCACGTGCAGCTGCAGACATGGTGAGTTCTTACGAATTTAAAGTACTTTTGTGTCCGGATAATAATAATTTTTATTTTTAATTCTAAAAAAATTTAAAACAGCAAAGAATCAAACTCCAAATATCGGCAACTTGGGAATCTATAAAAAAACTTTCAGCCTTTCCACTCTGGTGAAGACGGAAGACCAGCGAAGCTGTACTACGATGGGATGACTTCAAGGACGACACCTAGAGGACGACCTCAATGACAACCTCAAGGACCATGCCTAGGACGACCTCAAGGATGACGTCTAGGACGACCTAACGACTTCTAGCACGACCTTGAGGACGTCTAGGACGACCACTGGGACAACCTCTAGGACGACCTCAAGGACGACTTCTAGGACGACACCTAGAGAAATTCAGCCTTTCCACTCTGGTGAAAACAAGAGTGGAAAGGCTGGAAAGGTTGCCGCCATCTATGAGCAAAGCCGGCTGTCTGGTTGCCGCCGTCGCTCATAGATGGCGGTAGCCGTCCAGAGTTTTGTGTCAACATTTGTTTTTGGTACCGGACACGATCCTCAGGAACTTAGCCCTTAACAGCTCAACCAACTGTAAAAAAAATAAACTCCGGCAAACCCTGAATTTTTGGCGAAAAACACACTCCTAATTTAACGAAAAATGAACTCCAAAAACACAAAAACCTAATTATGAGTTGTCAGGACATGTGTGCTTCTTATGCTGCAAGCTGAGCTAGCCCTTGAATCGATTGCCACGCTTTGTATAAATCAAGGACGTCTCGATGACTCCCAGTAGTGATTCTTTGCGAGCTCCCTTAAAGGGAAGATGGGGCACTTCTACATTTGAGAAAAAACGCTTGAATTGTATTCATTTGGCCTTTAGAATAGCAGATATCACAATTATATTTCAATGCGACGCGCCGGAGAGCTATAAGAGCAATTTGAAAAAAGGCCTGAAGCCCCGCCTCCCTAGCCTTGGCAAGCCAAAAGATCCGTCGATGACGTCACGGACAGCGACAGTCTTTCGCGTTTTTCTCGCGTTTAAAACACTTGCGCGGCAAATGGTTTTGGTATTCGGGTTCACGAGGTAAAAATACACTAGAATTCACTTCTAACTCATTTTTTTCAAGAAGCTCCGTAGCTTCCCTTTAACATAATGCAACATAAGCAAAGAGTGCTGTGTGATCAAGCCCGAATATTCTATATACTTTGATGAGAGATGGCTTTTGCAGGGTCCTGAAGAACATTCTGCCCCACCTGTCATGCCATCCAGGGTCATATTCTTTTTGTGCAAATAAATATTATTATTATTAACTGCCATAACATTTCCAGAAGGTTCCTTTTCAAGTACCTGATGGCACGTCTGCCATGTAACAAAAACATGAATAAAGGCTCGTTCGCACATCTGACCATGACCGAACACACGGTCGTCTTGAGCGCTCAGGTCGCAGCGAAACGCATAAGGGGCCCAACGTGGCCTTGCTGACTCTAGACTGAAAGTTATGCAGTAATAAATGGCAGTGTTTGAGAGATAAAATATATGATGAATTATCTACGAGAAACGGTCGCTGATAATGGTACTATAAAGTATTTTAAGCTCGCGGTGGAAGGATGATGCGTAACAAACTACAGAATAAATGCGGGGCGACCCGGACGGGGCAATTTTTCCCATCTTGACGACACAACACCGGCAAAGCTCGAATTGCCACATTTCGTTATGATTGTTAAGATTTTAAATGTACTGCACTATTTAGATGCTAAGTTTCAAGTTGATAATGTGTTTCTATATCTTTTGACTGAATTTAGATTACTATTTAATCTCCAACAATTTTGTCGCAAAGACGTTCTATATCGAACCGCAACCGAGTTAAACCTCCTGTCCAGTTATCGCTGCCACCACAGAGGGAGATCTGGGTGAAAATGCCGTTTCAAACGTCTTCGACCTGCCCAAGTTGCTCGCCCGTTTTGAGCCGGACTCGATCCCAGCAATGCGTGCTGCACTGCCCCTCTATTACATCTAAGGACACATATTCAGTGTTGCGAGTAGTCTTTCTCTGACCGAATTCAACAATTCTACAACTTAAGAAAAAAACAATTATTGTGATTCGTAATTTGGGTTATTAGTTCAGACGTGTCCATTAATGTTTTGAACCATTTTTTAAGAAAGCTGGGGACTACCAAACTTGGCCAAAGTGCTCTTTAATGGCTTGCGCCGTTCCCGCACGCTTCATGTTGGTGCGAAGCCCGGTCCATGAAGGTAGTCTTCGTCGCATGGTGGTCCTTGCTAGTGAACTCTGCCGAACCAAATTCATCTTTGTGTCGCCTCACCCCTGAGAGGCTTCTGCAGGTTGTCTTTAGGCCATAGCGGTCTGCACCTCGACCGCTGGCCAATAGGTCGCATCGAGCTGACCTTTCGGAGGCGATCTCGATCAATGGTCCGCCGACAGTCGGTGTCGTGCTGGCATAACGCTGGTATCCCCGACGGCGATCTGTGCCGAACCAAGTTTGTCTTTGTCCTGCCTTGGTCCAGCAAGGCTTCTGCAGGTTGGCTTTGTCCCACGTCAGCCTGTGTCACGCACACTGGCTAACGGGTCGTGTTGAGCCAACCTTTTTAAGGGCGATCTCGATCGAACGTCGGCCAGGAATCTATGTCACGCCGGCATCACACTGGTGCTGGGGGGTTGTAGCTGCCAGAGCTCCTGCACAGTTGAACACTGGTAATTAAAATGTAAAAAAAAATTGTTTAGCAAAAAAGAAAAATGTTTTTTTTAATTTCGCTTGTTTTGGACATCCCGTTTCCTCAGTTGTCAAGCACATTGGGTTTAGTGACATAAAAAGTGCTTGTAGGTGCACTTTTCTTGTCCTGTGTAACCAAAAAGTGGTCGAAGTCCATTTTTTTGTTGATATAAAGTTTTTTTTTGTTTTTTTTAACATGGCTTTTTGTCACTTTTTTTCTACTTTTTTTTTTTCAGCCTACTTCAATCAAATTTTTTGTGTGGTCGCATTCATGCCTTGAGCTTGAATGGAACTAGAGTCAAGTGTTTATCTTGCTTTCTAATTTTTTCAATAAATATAAAGTGTTAGAGAGTGGTGATCTTATTTTACCAAAACATTAAAAAGGCCTGTCTTACCAGTTTTCTAGCAAAAGCTCCATTTTCCCTCTAGGTGTGCAAAAATATGGGAGTACTCTGCCTACTACATCGAAAAACTTTGAAAAAAGTAATTTTTTTTAAAGTACAAATGCAAGAAAAAGATAGTTTAGTTTTCTGTGCATCCACCCATTTATTGATAACATTCCTATTAAATTTCATGGGCTTTACTCCAGTATAAAAAATTTTAGAACCCAATTTGTCAGTTTCACTTTCAAGCTCCCACCTCGACTTGGCTGCACGACTCAATAGCTTGTGCGGTTTACTTCTAACGCCATTTCAGCCTAACTCCCAAATAAAAAACATGCTCTCAAAAAAAAAAAAAAATTACGGTATGTTTTTTTTTTGGAACGTTTAGACAGGACACACTTTTTTAATTTTTTCTTTGAAAAACAAATTAACACAATATTTATATTGTTAAACGCAATTTAGGCGGAGGTAACGACCCGCTCTAAGCCCTGCCCGTTACTACTGGGGCCCTAATCTGGACAGTCGGCAAGAAATCCCGCGGCTCTGATTGGCTGGTGCCAAGGTCAAGTGCGGTTTTGGCCAATCACGCCTGCCAGATTTCTCGCCAAGTTTCTCGCCAAGTGTCCAGATTAGGGCCCCTGGAGTGACTTGGCTGCTCGACCGAACACGGTCACAAGCCTAGTGTCTCCCTGTCGCAACGTCCGGTGCACATAGTCTGGCATCTGACACCACCTAGTACTACTTGCGCAAGCAGAAGCGTGGCAGCCTCTGGCATTGTCTGCCATTCTACTACCGTTTATTGTCGTCTGCAATGCCCATAATATGTGGCCATAAAAGCGGTGTGTCCGCGTCCGCCATCGTTTGCATGGTGAATACAGGAAGCGCATTGTAGACAATACACAAAAGAAAGAATGAATGATTTAAGGGGGACGAAAGCAGACATACACCATCATTTCAAAGAGCAACAATATTTACCGACATTCATCACACTAGGAATTTCCCTAGTGAGATGAATATCAGTAAACATCGTTGCTCATTTGAAGGAATGGCGTATGTCTGTGTCTGTCCCCCTCAAATGCTCTATTCTTTCTTTCTTTTGTGCATCGCTTACATCCGTCTGCTATACTGTCCCCGTCTAAAACCATCTGGAAAGCTCAGAAGACACAACCATGAAAGCGGCGTCGTAGTGTTCCATCGTGCACGAGTCATGGTTCGATACAAGTAGCTGTCAGTGTCCGTCGATGTGCGGTAAAAAGCGATCAAAAGGACTAAGAAAAATCAGACAAGTAGATATGCAGTCCTTCCAGTTTTTGTCTTCTTGCTTTCTTGCATAGCGTGCGCGAGCAAGATGGGTGAGAATCGTGATGAGCAATTAGCACCTAAAACTATTTGCTTCAGCAAGCCAGGTGTGGTGCTGCTCCAAACTTGAGAGCTACGGCCTTCCGAAGAGAAATGACGGAAACATCCTTGGACAGACCTGAGTCGCCTGACGCAAGGCAAATGCCCGATTGCTTCCTGCAAGATGGCTCGTAAAGCTTCACGATTCCCAGAGTAGCGGGGCCACTTTTACGGGAACCAACAAATTTATTCAACGTTAAAACGCACAAACAAACAACGGATCGAGCAAAATAGTTCACGTGGGACACTAAACTTACGCCAGTCCGGCTACGAAAACGGGCACCCACACGGCGATTCCGAAGGCGTGTACTCGCGACAGTTCTTTGCTGCGATCTACGTCGGTTGAGGATATCTCCCTCTAAACACCTCAGAGGACGCGAAACGACTCGCACTCGTAAAAACAAGCGAACTCAATGAGCTACGCAGTGTGTCAAACGCTCGCGCAAATGCTGGGAGCCATGTTTGTTGATGTTTGAAACCAAACCGGCAAGGATGATCTCGGGACATCTTTGAAAGCAATAATGACTCTAACTATATAGATTGCTTCTCAAATATAAAGATATGCGGAATAAAAGACTGCCACGGCAAGGAGAAACAATTTTACAACAAATATTCCACACATCAACCATCTTTGTGACCGACGAGAGCTTGCGACCGACAAAAGCTAAGAAATGAAGCATAGCTAGCTACGCTCCTGGGCATGGTCTAGAGCGGGCTACCTCCACCTAACCTGCGTTCAACAACGTAAATATTGCGCAAATTTGTTGTTTCTTTTTCTTGAAAAAAGTTTAAAAACAATGTGTCCCAAACAACTTTTCTTTGAAATTTTTCTTTCGACATAATGACGTCTCACTTGAAGGGGCGCATGCACGGAAACTTATGTAACAAAAATAGCCTCACTACATGACGCACTTCCGGCTCTAAATTTCAGACCTCCTCTGAACGAGCAACCGCTAGATCACGGCGACATGCATCGCACTGACGGCGTTTCTCGTTAAAGGGAAGCTGAAACGGTTTTGAATTTCATTAAAAACACTCGATTTGTTTTAATCTGACTCCAAGCATCACGAAAAGTAGGTAGGCTGTCATGAAAACTAGGCTATGAAGCGAGCCGACGCCTTCTACGATCAATCACGTGTGCACATCGATGATTTTTGTCTCCAAAGATCAAACGTAAGTTGCATCACGATCTTCACGTGTTTCGATGGCCTGTGTGACTTCCGATTGAATACGCTCCGTCGTGTCTTGATATTTGTTTCTTTCGGTTTCTTGTCCATCATTCAGTAATACAAGTTTACCTGATGTTTAAATATTTTTTTCGTTCAGTCGATTCTGCAACTAACAAATAAATGCATTCCATTTCATACTTGCGTTTTATTTCATTAATTTTGTTACATCAAAATATATGTTAAATTTGACGTGCACATTTAGTTTCACCAGGCTCGGCGCATAGACGTTGCAACACCTAAAACGTGCGACGCCCGTGTCGTACACGCAACCTACCCGTTTCCTTTTCTTCGTTTCAGTGCCTCTTTAAAAAAAAACCTGAAAAGAAAAAAAATGTTTTTCCTAGACAGTCTGGTTGGGACACACATGTAAAAAAAAATTATACGCGCAAAAAAAAGTTTTTTTAGAGGAATATTGACGGCAAGAGATTTATTTTAAATTCTGCGCGCAAAGTCCATGACGTCCCGGAATGGTCATGCACTCTTTCCAGCTCACTGAGGTGGTCATACTCCCCCTCCACCTCGACGTGCTGGCCAAGCCGATCCACCTCTCCTCCATGCACCCAAATGCCGGGAGAGAAAACAAGTGGAAAGGCAGTGACTACCGACTAAATCGCGTCCCGCACCGTAAATATTGCTCTAAAAGCTTTTTTTTGCGTAAAATTATTTTTTTGATTTGCGTGTCCCAACCAGATTGTTTAAAAGACATTTCTTTTCAGGGGTCTTTCAAGACCGGAAAATAAGGCAGACGAATTCTCGAACAGAGAATGTGCCCGCTGGCTCGAGAGCATCCCTCAATCAGTAGCCAACCTCTGTGCGTTCACCTACCAGGTAGTCGTCCCTGGAGTAGGGGTGGAGGCGCTGCGGGAAGCTCGTGTCCAACCGGTCCACCCGCCAACCAATGCCCCTCAGTCGCTCCAACCAATGGCAGAGGTGCGTGTGCGCCGGACTGGCCACCTCCAAAAGGGACAGGCTGAAGTTGACCCTGCGGGGAAGGGATCTATTGCTCACCAGTTAGCACTACCGCAGTCCTTGGGTCGGCGGTTCTCAAACTTTCGGACCTCGAGGAAAGCCCACCTTCCTCGACGATGGGCCGAGAAAACAAATCCACACGTTTCATACTTCCCAACCGTCATTGTACTGACGAAAAGGCAAACAGCGCGCAGAAAACGGGGACTAGAGGAAGTGCAGACATCTAGTCCCCGTTTTCTGCGCGCTGTTTGCCTTTTCGTCAGTATGAACCAACTAACCCACATCGCCACCCTTATTCACGTCATTGTACCGCTTGCGTAACATCTGGGAAGCTTTCGTCATCATTACCGACTCTTGCCTAATGTAGACAGAACTCCCGTTTATGCCTTTTTGATAAAATTTATTATCGTCCTTCCCTACGACGTCATTTACTAACACCCCAAACGTATACTACATCTGGTCAGTTAAATCGCCAAAACAAAGTTGATGTTTTCCCACATCAAACAAATAAATTCTTTCACTCGTTCGTCCCTCGCACTTTTGCACAATGGAACCACCTCCCTCACCAAACTGCGACCATTTCACCACTCAATTTCTTTCAAAAATGCTCTTTCCAAGTTCTCGTTTTCTGTGGAACCACGATCGCAATTTTATGTTTTAACATTACGCTCTTTGTGTTTTATTGTCCACTCCGTTCTGTAACGTCGTACGACCGCGAGGGTAAATAAATAAATAAACTCTCCCGGTTTTGGCACTGATGCAATGAACCGGCGAACAAACCTAAGGACCTCATATACGATGGTGTGCACACTGTAGTGTGTTTGACTGAGAGTTATGCATCAATGGGTGGCTCAGACTTGCTAAAATTGACCATAAAATGGAGAAACTGTTTACTCGGAGGCAGAGATGGCCGAGGAAATTTCGGAGCTTGGGGAACTCGACCCCCGTGATCCCCAGGAAACTTGTTTGAGAATCCACGCCTTAGATAACCTACTTACTGGTCTGGAAACTTTGGCAGCTTCCCTCCTAGCATGCCTTGCCACCACAAACGGCACTAATCCATGCAGGAGTAAAAGAAGTTTTTTCTAAAATTACTGTAAAATATTGCGGAAGCACCCACTTCAATCAAGCACCCACTACTAACATTTTCGTGGGAATTCTGTAAATTATACGTTAAGTGCCCGAGTCGACCGGACAAGTGCCCATGTTCAGGTTAACCCAGTTTTCAGCAGGGTGAACACTTCCCCCAATATTTTTAGTGTAAAACTTAAAAATAACTTTTAGCCTTTCCACTCTGGTAAAAAGGAAGACCAGCGAAGCTGTATTATGGTCAGACGACCTCAAGGATGACTTCTTGGACGACCTCAAGGACAACGCCTAAAGACGACCTCAAGGACGACGCCTAGGACAACCGCAGGGACGATGTTTACGAAGACCTCAAGAACGACTTCTAGGACGATTTCAAAGACAACGTTTAGGACGACGTCAAGGACAACTTGCGGCACGACCTCGAGGACGACGTCTAAAACAACTTCTAGGACGACCTCAAGGATAACCTCTCAAACAACCTCAAGGACGACGTTTAGGACAACTTCTAGAACGCCGCCGTCGCTCATAGGTGGCGGTAGCTGTCAAGAGTTTTGTGTCGACATTTCTTTGCGGGGGACATGATCCTGGGAAAACTATCTGTTAACAGCTCTGCTCTAAAAAACAAAATCGCAAGATTTTGATCATTTATTATAAAGCAGATGTAGCACACTTCGCGTTGTGTTCCGATTATTCCGTACTATGACGACCCCTAGGTCTAGAGTATACTAGATGGTGTTTCTAGTCGTCCATCTTTTCAACGGGCCCAAGGGGGTTTTACGACAAAGGTAGACGTGTCCAACGACTTTCTCTGCGGAGGTTTCTCCAAACTCGCGTCCATCCGATGGGTTCTTTGGGCGATCCAATTGGTTGACTCCCAACGCCGGCGGTGTGCCTCTGGTGCATCAATTTGTCTCCAGAGAAAATTTACCCGTAGCACGACGACGAAAAGATTCCAAACTGGGTAATCCAGGGATCATGGCGCTACCATTCCTGAGTCTCCGATCGGTACCGCATTGTCCAGACTATGCGCGCTTAATTAAAAGAGGAAATATTACGCTTTGCAGACTATACAAAGATTTGTTTTCCAAGATTGTTCCCTACGACGAAATATCGTGGATTTTGTGAATGACAAGGTATGCTAATGATAATTCCCGCATGACACAAGCTTCTTCGTATCCTGCAGACGTTTTGGGGACTCCATCGTTAGTCTTAGCAGGTAATTAAAACTCGGCACACTTTCTCCCCTCTCGACTCCGCGGTGTCTCGGACAGGGCCCCGAGCACGCAGGAGCCCCGTTCTAAAATACAAAACCGGTCCGAGCCAACCCGGTCAGTCCCGGGTTGGTGTTTGGCAGTAGAGGTTTTTGAACAATCCAGCACAAGGCACAACCAGTGATATGGCCAGTGCGTACATTCACGTTGCAGACGCACAAGCTGTCTCGCCAGTGTGCGTCTTGCCGGTATGCAGCGCAGCCAAGGTGCATGAAACCAAATCGAAGGACCATAAATGAGGATGCGGTAAACACACTGGTTGGGGACGAGCACCGGGCACCACGGGACGGCTACACTCGGCATCGACTATTTCGCGCCTCGTCATCGAGGCTAGGGCTGCTTTCACGCCACCACGGCCCCACGCTGCCATGATAGCACATGTCCTTGTCGTGCATCTCGTCTGCACTTGTCCTCGCGCAAAGGAGAGCGCCGCGTCGGAGGCTCACCTCAATGACGTAGTGCAAAATAATGGACGCCGAGTACAGTCGGACTGCCCGAGCCGAAATTAGGTCAACGAAAGAGAGACGGGGTCCGGCCGTTCCAGGCGCCGAGGCACCCACTCCGCGTCGTTCTCGCACCTCCTCTCCTGGGCAAGGTAGACCAGCTGGTCCTCGTGGGTTGCCAGGCGGCACAGGAGGTCGAACAGGTGGTCCGTCAGGGAGTCGTCGTACACCACTGTGGAGACACGTGAATCTAGCTTTCAGGATGTTGACGAGTACAGTTGAAACTCGATGTAACGAAGTCGGTAAAATTCGCAATTTACTTCGTTACATTGAAATTTCGCTAAATCGAAATTTGGCTTTAGCATGCGAAAAAAAAAATTCCGAAACATTTTACGGGTATGAAAACTCACCGAAAATGACATTTATTTAGGGGCAAAGTAGTCCGCGAGTTTTGCTTGCGCCTTGTCCGACAGTAGCAGCGGCGTCGGCGGCGTCATACGGCGTTCGAGCGCCCAGAGCGCTTGCACGGCATCTTGCTGCCCATGCGACGCCGGGTACCTCCTCAGTACGTCCATTGCGTCGAGCACTTCCCGAGTGCTCGTGATCTCGGCAGTTTCTTCCGGATGGCGTCCAAAACGTTTGCTTTCTCATCCAAAAAAAGAACTTTACGTTTCCTTATGGCAGCAAGCACGTAAGTGAACCACCCGGTTAAAAAATAAAGCTGTTTAGTTTAGGCGGTGCCAAGGTTTCCAACCTACACAGCACCTACACAGCACTCTTGACCGCACAGTTTACTTGCCCCCTTGCACCCACAATGTGCTTGCGCCTTTGCTTTACATCACGCTCGCAAGACGATAATCGGTCTTTTCGGTCTTCTCCTAGATGGATCTGCCCTCGCGGTCGCGCCATCACGTTGCTCCCCCGCTGAAGTTGGCTCCCGCGCTACCCGCGGTACAGTGGACTATGATGATCAGTGAATGTCAGTGGTGATGCTGTTATGCCGTGTTAACTTTTTGCTCGGCATTTTCTGGCCAGCCTCGCGGAATCCGCTTTGCCGCATGCCTCGCCGGCGCTACCGGCGCCGCATCCTCGGGCAGCCTAGGAACGTTGGAAGGCCTGTCCCCGTGAGGTAACCTATCAAGCGCTCGCGTTTGCGCATAATTTTTTTTTTTAACCACAATTTTTTTGCGAAGTTGTTTTTTAGAGTTGATTTATTTATTTCCTTCTATGGCAATGGCGCTTCGTTATATTGAAATAGCAGCAAAATAGACTTCGTTATATAGGGACTAAAAATACATGGGGTCTATGGGCAAGAAATTATGAAAAATAAAATACTTCGTTAAATCGAGGATTTCGTTACATTGAAGTTCGTTATATCGAGGTTCGACTGTACCTATATATACACACGCACCATTTTAAAACGGCCCGTATCGTCCACGCCAGGTGTGGGCACCATGCGTGCCCGAAAACCAGAATTGCGCGAGACGAGGCGTCTGCGCATGCACCGTGCTATCGGCAGAGCTGTGGCAACAGCGTGAAGTCAGAATTGTGCGTTGGTTGCTCCTTTGATTCGCCGTAAGTGCAAGCGAAGGGGCTACAAGAGCGAGCGCAATGCTTTTAGCAGGCTTGCGACGCACTCGCCAAGTGAAAGTGACGTTCTAGGCAACATGCTCCTGCATCACACCACTGCCAATGCTACGAGCCACTGCCTGCGTGTGTTATTGCCAACTGATATCCAATCAAGAGCTAGGAATGCGCCGCGACACCCATGCATTTGTGTTACAATGAGTTTTTTACCCGACTCAGAAGATGAAATGATGCACGGCAACATTGGTTTCTCTCGCGCCTGTAGCGAAGCAGAGCATAGTGTAGATACGTTCTCTGGCCTGTACTTGTCAATTATCAACTTCCAATCTTTCAATGCAAAATTTGTTTTAGGGTCTGGTTTAAACGGATGTGGCAACGAAATTCTACCGCCTTTTTTATTGTCTAAATGTCAACCGCATTCTGGCCACATTGCGGAGATGCCAATTTTTTGCTCGAAAAGACGGCAAAACATTATTTAAAAGAAATACGCCAATAAGACGATAACAAAACAAGATAAGTCTCACCTTTATGATCGCTCCATTTTCTTTGGAATCTAAACTCGCAGCGCTAAGAGAGAAGGAATCACACCGCTTTCAGGATATACGGAGCATATACAAGACGGCTCGAGCATACGTCGGAACGGCCCCTCAATTCTCCACACTGCGTAAGATTGTTGAGGGGCCTTTCACGATTTTGCGGCGAGGTTGATTCCCGCGCAACAAGAAGTCGTCCGCACTGACCGTCTGCTGCCAGGAACACTCGGATGTGGCTCAGGTTGTCGAGGTCCTGAGAGGTCCAGTCCCAGGGTCCCACCGGGGGCTCGCCTTTGAGGGGGGGTCCGTGCGCCCAGTCGAGGCGGCGAACAAGCGCTTGTGGTTGCTGGTCATCTGCCCCCAGCGCGTCGTAGAATGCCTCGTTGCTGTTCAGGTTGCGCTGGCACAGCGCGAGCACTTCGTCTCGTGCGTCTGCAACATCGAAGTTGAATTCGTTGACGCTCCGCCAATTCGAAGGTTTCAGTTTGATGGTCAATTACACGATTTTTCGACCTATAAATTGCATCGTTGTACAAGTCACGCTCCCCTATAAACAACCGTTCTTACAAAAATGTCGCTGGTTAAGTTGCATCTATGTATTGTTGCAAGCATCGCCGAGGAGGAACGCTTCTTCATACTTCCATAAGTTTCGGGATGATTCTTTCCCCCGAGTGTAATGGATAAGGAGGCCAACATGACCTTGCCGAGTCAGGTTACGAGTGTTCGGTGCTCAACATTCTAGACCGAACGTCCGAAACACCAAGTGTAGTAGATAGAAAGCCCAGTGCGGCCTTGTGGACTCACCCTCGCACACCCAACTGTCATGCCAATAACTCGACGCTCGACGACGCTTTCTCGGCGCTCGTTCTTCCTTTCGTTTCTGACACCAGCTCACCGATTAAATATATATTTTCAGTCCTACCTAGTAGACCCGCTCCAGTCTACGACGATATCTCAACGGTCGGCACAGCAAAACTGCGTTGATAAGCCCACATTTGTTTATTGTGATCACGATATGTGCAGAGGTAGGAGTCTGTGGTAATATTCTTTTCAATTAATCGATTGTGAAATTTGACATTCACAACGGCAAATTTGCACGATTGAGGTTCCTACTTAGAATAAATGGGTTAGTGTAATATTTTTTTTTCACAAACATTTAATCCCCCATTTACCCTTCTACCGAAACTGAAGCTAGGTGCCCAAAGAGCACCTGTGATGTCGATATCATTCCCCTCCACCGGCTTCATGAGCGAAGCCAGCTACAATGGTGCCTCTCTTTGCCTGCATAGCTTCAGTTTGAAACCATGTACCAGGGGGACATTTCTTAACTTGTAGCACTCACTACAAATGTTTTAATAAAAATTTTGCGGCATATTCCAGACCACAATGAGGTTGAGCGTCAGTTCTCCAAATACGTTATGAACCTAAAAATGATAATCTAGAAAGTTAACTGTGAACACACTAATTAACCAATTTCTCCCGTTTTTCTTGTTGCAAGCCTGGTGGTAGAAAAAACATGAATGATAAGGTAATCATACATGCTTTTTGCAATTTCAGCCTAGCACCGATTGTACAAGTGGCATCTTCAGCACACCAGGAGGCTTCCAACACATGTCAAATCTCTCTAAAACTGGCCGATTTAGTGGTTTTCAATAACACTCAGCAAGGGTATGATTCGAAATACCTGCTTATTTTGACTACTTACAAAACTAATTAACAAATTCCAGTCAACTGTCTGAAACGTCGTGACAACTAGCCTCTTACATTATACGCAGTGTCTAGTGTTACGTCCGACGGAACCTGAAATAAAAATTAAAGTTACGTACGACGTAACTGATTTGAGTTACGTCCGACGTAACCCAATATGTAAATTAAAGCTACGTCCGACGAAACTCCAAATGAAAAGTAAAGTTACGTCCGACGTAACTTTACCCCAAGATTTCGAGTTTTGTCCGACGGAACCCAATGTAAAAGTTAAAGTTACGTTCGACGGAACTCGAAATAAAAAATAAAGGCCCGCTGCTCGTTTCAACCTGGATGAGTTTCGTACCGGCGTACGTCGTGGCACTGGCACGCGTTTGTGTGATTGCTACTGTGCGGCGCACGTTAAAGACCCCAGGTTAGCGGTTGTACTGCATTGGCTAACTTTCTCATCTACAGCTAAGAGACAAGTCACCCGTGGAGGCGTACTAGCATCTAAACTGGCTAAACATACGAGCAACACGATTTTTCTAGATCACAATTCATATAACTTATTTCCGTCGGTCGTAACTCGAAACCTCAGGGTAAAGTTACGTCGGACGTAACGTTGATCTTTATTTCGAGTTCCGTCGAACGTAACTTCAATTTTTATTTGGAGTTCCGTCAGACGTAACTTTAATCTTCATATTGGGTCACGTCGGACGTAACTTTAATCTTCATACTGGGTTACGTCGGACGTAACTCAAAACCTTGACACAAAGTTACGTCGGACGTAACTTTAATTTTTATTTCGGGTTCTGTCGGACGTAACGCTAGACACTGCGGATGATGCGTACATTATATCCTACTGGCTGTTTGGCGGCGAAAATAACAGTAACTCTGAGACTTTTTGTCAAATTAATTGAGAAGCAATAGAAACATTTCCGAGGCTGCTTTAAGTGGCTTGCGTCGCAGTCACGCCCGACCAACGGACCCGACGGGATGCCGATACTGCATACCAGTGCAGTAGACCCAGTCCGCAAAGGCTGCAGCCACAAGCCCGCACAGTCCGGCACCGCAGCCCAGCTCCAGGCAGCCACGCCCGCCGAGCACTTCAAACCCACAGTCCAGCAGGAAGTCCGACAGGAGAAGCGACGCCTTCCACACCTGCGGCCGTTGTTTGTTTCATCGGAAACCTTTCACGAACCAAAGTTTGGGTTGCTCCAAAAAAGAACTACGCTGCGGTGGATCTCTTCCACGAAGAGTTCTGTACATGCAAAACCCTTACTGAAACTTTCTTTTGTGACTGCGCCAGCCGAATGCAGCTCCGGAGTTCCCGGTTGGGCCGATAGGATCGCCGCGTCGCTGGCTTCTCTCTCGTACGTCCATCCAAAGAGCAGATTCGTAGGTCTACCCAGCCGACTCCGACCAAACTGTTATGCTCATATTCGAAATGGGTACATGACCTTTTTGGTGCATTAGCAATTAATGATTTCGCAACTCCCGCCTTAATAATTTTAGAGTGACAACTTTGTTTGGGAAGCACCGGTTTAGCCATCTTCTTACCATATTCCCAACATAAGCCATTTTTCACCTGAATGCGCAAGTCCAAAAACTGCAACATGCTCTCCTCTGGTTTTTCTACTGTGAAATGCAACTCCGGGGCCATTGACCTAATAAGCTTTTCAAGATACTCAGATTTTCCTTCTTCAAACGTGCAGACAAAAATATCATCTACATATCTTCTGATGAAGCCCACGTTAGGTGACAACTCAATCATCCTGTCGAACAACTCTCTATCCAAACTGTTGAGGTATATCTCAGCTAACAATGGAGCGACTGACGAGCCTATGCATACATCTTCTTTCTGGATGTGTTTTCGATTATTGTATTCGAGGACTGTTGACTTTAAATAGAGATCTAACACGGTAAGGAAGCCTTCCACTGTTACGCCCGATCCTGATTGAAACTTTACCAGATTCAACTCTAGCACCTCCTTCACGGCGTTCATCAACCTCTTCTTTTCCAGAGAATAATACAAATCTTTTATATCCATGGAGAATACCAAACTCTTCCTCCCATGGTTGTGTTCTAAAATCTGAATACATTTCGTGTTTCTCAGCGATAAAGATTTGTCCAAACTGATCTGACCTAACCCATGCTGCAGAAACTTAGACATCTCTTTGCCACGTTCCGTTTTCGTTTACAACCACTCTAAGAGGCATCTCCACTTTATGGTCCTTTAGGAAAAATTTGTATACAGTTCTTCGTTCCCCTTGGAGGGTGGCGGACTGCCAACGGAGTTCGTAATTACGTGTCTGAAATACCGCAACTCATTTGAATGGGGTTCAATAAAAATACATTTCAATGAACGTGCTGTTTCTGTTTGATTGCACTGGTAATATCACGCGAAGCGCAGTTGTTGTGAAGTATATCGCGCGCGGTTCGTCTGCTAAACCGGTGCCGTGCTGGCCGCTCACAGCGGTCGGCGCGGCACCAGTCTAGCAAACAAACCAGAAAAAAAAAAAAAAGAAGAAACCGGGGGGGGGGGAGGAGGACAGAGGGCGCACGCCAACGACAGTGGTGGCGCCATCTGGCAGTCTTTCGAGACCAGTTTTAGTCTCCGACCGTACGTATGTCCGCCTTTCTGCCACTAGCGCCTCGTGGCGCTAGTTTTTCCTTACCATGGTGGAGGCTATAGCTGCACTCGGCTGACTGCGCTTCCCGACTGAAACAGCCCCGGCAGACGGCACCCGCGTCGTTTCGTAGAGACATGTTTCATAAAAACACATTTTCATGAAAAACAAAAAGAAGAGACGCATGTTCCGTGAATGTAGGCTTTGTGGAAGCATGTTTCGTCAACGCTGTTTGCGTTGCGTGAACACATGTTCCTAAAATATTTCGTTACTATTCATTTATTTAACCCTTTGACGGTTGTCACCATACGTGTTTGGCGGTGATAAGACAGCTAAAAGTGTCCGCCTAAACGTGAAAATGCGCGCACCATGGGAGGTGTTGCTATTTCGTTATGCCTTTGGCCAACTAACCTTTTTCAGAGTTCGTTGAAGCGACCGTGGCGCACCCTCGTGGAGATAATTCAAAACGTTTGTGGGCTCAGTCCGTCCTCCCGTCATTCCGTTCGCTTCCTAGACGCGATCGTTTTGGTGCCTTCGTTATGGAAAGTTTTTCTTGCTGTTTTCCGGCTGTCATTCTCTAGAAATAGCTGCTGACGATCCCGAAGGATAGAGTGAAGCAACCATCTTCGACACTTCGGACTTTATCCGTCTGTACGCTTTCCAAGACGTATGGAGTGCCGATGCTGCATCGGTACTGGTCGTCAACACAACGTGCGTCGATCGGTACTTGGCGAAGGACTGCAGACAACTCCGGAAAGGATGGGCCTTCAAAGAAGCTTACGTCAAGAAGGTCATGGTGAACACCTTTGATCCCGACCACACCGTTCACCTTGTAAGGAGCACGACCATCTATGAAGCCGGGACATTACAGGCAACTGATATCGCTTTCCAAGAGCGCCGATATCGTTCAAGCGTCTTGCGACCGCGTTGCAGTGTGAGTTTATTTCTTCGGTAAAACCCGTGGCGATGTAATAATGTGTCTTAAGGATTACAAAATGTGTCAATATTTGTAGGGCGTGAGCCCCATACTCTCTATCCTTTCGGCAGATTTGTATCAAGATCCGTGTGTGCCAGTCCTTTGATCATATTTTATGCGTGACGCGATAAGTTATCTAAAAAACAAAACAGAAAACAAGATTTGTCGTCTTCGTCTTTTTTGTGGTACTTCAGCATGCAACTAAAAAGGGCCAAGCTATGTCATCGAACTAGGTGACGTGTTGATATAAAATTCTGTAGTAAGACATTTTTTTATTCAATATTTTAATGAGCTTCAAGCGTAAATATATACTTTGCAGGTTGAGCGGAACATGCCAGCACATATCTGGCCTGCTCTTTACACTATACGACAGTGTAAAGATCTGTTTTCCGTGACAACGGCTTGGCGTCCCGCCTCTTCGCTGCCCTGCTGTACCGTGCAAGCAAACTCGGTGCGGAGGCAGGTGTCGGCTTCTATGTAAACAAGGAGGGAGCGAAGTCTGGGTGATTCTGGTCTCGTGAAGATACCCCTGTGTCGTAAAAATCAGGAACAAAAACCTTGCTATGAATGACTAGCCTGCACGGAGTATGACGGATACATCCTGAGTTCAAACAAATATGAATGAACTAACCTCCAATGAAGTGGACGCTGCAAACACGCGAGTTCGGAGATGGCTGCCAAGGCGTCCCGTCGGAGTTCTGGCGTCGCAGCGCTTGAATCCATTTTTCTCCCTTCTTGAGGTGCGCGGTAGCTTTCGGGAATCTAAAGAAGCTCACGTTCGGCGTGTTTTTCTTGCTGTTTGTACATCCAACAGCCGAGCAGCGGTGAGGCATCGCGACAGTGCCGGACAGACGCGCCTAGCAATGCGAGCGAAGCCAGGCAGCGTACGAGGAGAGCCTGCAAAGATGGCGCCTTTCCCTTTCCTACTCTCTCCTCAAGTTCGGGCATGCGCACAAAATTCTCCGAAAAAGGTCAAGTATATTTGCGCAGTGTTTCCCTTTGCTGAGCTATTTATAGATTTTCAAATTAGATGCTCCACACACATGATGTTCACTTTGCACGCCGGCCGCTCTGGCGGCAGTGCCAATGGGAGCACTGGCTCTTCCGATTCAGACTTGCAACGCTTTTAGGAATTGAATTCGGAAGATGAGAGCTCATCATCCGACAGAGAAGCTTTGTAAAGTACATCCGGTTCGGAATCTGAAGCCGTTAGAATGCTCCGGAAGCAGAGGCGTCAAAATGAAACCAAATGGAAGAAAGGAGACAACTTGCCGCCTTCAATATTTTCATTGAATGCTTCTAAACCTAAACAGCCTGCAAGCACTGTGTGTGCTTCCGCTAGATAACTAAAAAAAACTGTTTATTTACTTTTTCTATATATTCCTTTGGAAAGAAAGCCTGACCACTGGCAAACATTGTTTGGGGAAAAAAAAAATGACCGTATGGGAGTATTATAGGTACAATATCACAAACACAAGTATGCATGTAAAACACAAACCACTCCCTTAGTGCGTAACATAATCTGTAAGCAGCTAAGGGTTAGGGCGTGACTTACTGACGCCTGCATATGAGACACAAAATGTTTGCTGCACAAAAAAGCAGGATTGTGTCTGATGAAACGTCTCAAGATGCATCAACGAAGTGAAAGCTGGAAGCCTATAGACGAAATGAATTGTTGATGAAACGTCGCGCATCAACGAAACTATCTGCCAACGAAACGTCGCTCAGCAAACTGATTGGCATCACAGCAGATGTGCCCGGATGACTTTAAGAAAGAAAATAAAATAAAGTAAGAAAGTGTTTTTGCGACTCAAATAACACATTCCCGATTGTGTTTTTTCTTTTTGAACTTCTGTCACTGACAAAGTTGCTCACCACACTTTCGAGGCTTGTCGACACCATAGACAATGCCGACAAACAACCGCTCCGGTTCAGACAAAGAAGCAGAATGGCAAAAGAAGGTCAGCAGCGTGGCCACAGATGGCTTGCTGGAAGCAAACAGGCATTTCGTGAAGCTGCCCTTATGCATATATTTCGTCTCTCCGCAACTTGGCAGACGGCAAAAGCTACAGTCCCGGCGAGCCAATCGGCTCGATGGAGTGAGCCGGGTGACCACACTTTATCTCATTAAGTACTTGCCCGCAGTGGCGTCAAAGCCACGGGTGGGAAAGAGAGGGGAAGGCCCCTTTTGTACGAACTTTGACTAACCTTCTAGGGGGAGAAAAGCGACGTCTGGGATGCACAAACGAGGGTCTCGGTGAGAAGAGAGTTCCTCCTTTCTCTCTTCTCTGACCGCTTGAGTTACACTCTCGCCCCCATAACTTTGGTAAAGGCTATCATGTGTTTCACCTCCGTCACTCTGATTAGCTCAAAGGGGGCCGTACCGTTCGTTCTTTGCCAAGTTACGGTGAAATCAAGTGTAGCAGTCGGGCAGTCTTGTTTTTTGGTTGCCTGCCTCCTGAGGCAGCATTGCCAGAGAGATTTGCAAATAAACTGGAGGTGAAATAAAAATTTCTTCAATCATTCCCAAAGAAGATTGACACATTGGAATTAGGGTGTCGAATCGGGCTAGTTGGTTAGTGCTTAGTAAAATCAACACGGCGCACAAAAAACGATGAAGTAGAAGAGTGTACACAAGACAGCACTTGTCTAGTGCAAGGCTGTATTCCAAAATTTATTCGATCTAGCTCCACAGTAAAGGTTTCGTACCGCGGCGATTCAAAACTTACTCGCACTTACTCAACGACGTCAGAACTCGCGTTCCAGAAGTGGGTTGTTTACTCTGGAATGATTACTCATGCTACCGCCATCCTCCGATCGGATAACGTGACGTCTTTACTCAGACAAAACCGAGTAAAGACGTCATATGATCTGTTCGTTGTCTGCTTTGTGCGCTCACAGCCGTCAAAGCTCGTCTGCACTGTTGGCTTTGGTGGCAGACGTTCAAAATGGTAGAGGATGAGGGGCAGCCATTTTTGTGTGGTTACTGCACTTCTCTGTTTTCAGCGCACAAATTGACTGCACACCACATCCAGATCGTACACCTTCCGCACGAAGGTATACCCGTGGTTCTTATTAAAGTGCAAGCGTAAGCAGCGGCTTATCCGCATCCTCGTCTTCGGCATTGGAGTGAACTACGTATTCTTACGTTCAAGGCTAAGGATGTTCGAACACAGTGGATGATGTAGAAATAATTTTTTTCTCCAGAATGTGTGTAATGAGAGGATGACGCTTGTGAAGCAGTGAAGGCTTTGAAGATTTCAAGTATATAATCAGCCAACAACCCCAACCCCTCTCCCTCCTCAAGAAAATGCCTATAGCAGTTTGGAAGATCTTTCTGTAATTTTTTACTCATATTTGCGTCAAAGTGAACGCAAGTCACATATCACTGTTGAGAAAGCTCCAGCGCTGTACCACAACACCGTGTGGATGTGGATTCTAAATTTCTGCAAAACGTAATCGGTGCGACTTACGACGAGTGGAATGTATACATTTAGGGCACCTGGACTAGACTTACAGTGATAGCGCTGACTAATAAAAACAAAATTTTCTATGCCCAACTGAGAGGAGTAAGTCATTCTGATTTTAGTGTACAGCCCAAAAGGGAGGTGAACAGGTGGAACAGGTGAAGCCACCTACGAAAACAATGCGTCGTCACTGTGGAAAGAAAAACTTTGCAACGGTTAATATTATTGTCTCTTCATCAAGTCTCCCAGTGTTTCCTCCAAGATCGAAAGCGATTGTCCGCTATTTTCCGCCATCGCTACTATGTTTTCTTTTTGCCGTAGCCCGAGATGAAGCCAATCCACGTACGAACCAGGCGATGATCCCGGCCGTTCCAAAACCGAGTCGCAGATCATTTACACGCTATGTCGCGTGATATCACCCGCTGACATAGGAGACAAGTTACTCGGGCAAGGTGCGTAACATAGCCTAAGATACGTCGGACTAAGCGTAAAAAAATGGGCTAAGCTTACTGAGCTCTGTCAACTGAGCTCCGCTCACAATGCTAGTGTGTCTCACCGACACCAAAAAGCATGCCAATAACTATGTGTCTGCGTGCAAACTAATGGGAAAAGTGACGAACGCTATTTGTCAACGTGGCAAGACACGGCTTACGGGAAGTGAAAAAGCCTTTTGTGAAACTGCCCTTTCCTGGTGAATTTTCGCGCAATACTCCCGTGTTACTGGAGGTGTGTTACAGGTACTATGTGCATTGCACGAGACTGCTCCAATTCGTTTAGCCTCGAGTCAAAGCACAGTCGACGCTGCAAGCCGATAGGAATAATCAAGAAGAGCCGAAAGCGCAACATTTGTTGCCTATCTTTGCATGTCATATCAAAGAGTGTGCTGCAACCTTAAATTTTTAGTTTGTGTGCCTGTCTGTGTGTCTTGTGGTCTTCAACAGTGATCCGGCCTATATTGAAACTAATTCACAAGGACCAGCACATAACACATTTATTATGATAAAAAAAATTGTTGTCGATATTGCTGTGCGGAGTGTCGTTGAAATGCGACGGCTTTTTGTATTGTCTTGAACCACATAAACGTTTCTCTCTTAGACTGCTTAGGAATTCCCACAGAAATTCTGGCAATATCTTTTTCCGATGTCCACGAAGTCTTTTATTGCATTTAAAACTAATTAACTTAATTTTTGTTTTTAGTAACTCTCTACTTCTTGTGGACGGGCCTCCCGCAACCAACCAATGACTTTTGTTGTCGCATTACTGCAATTCAAATGTTTCTCTCTTACTATACTGAAAGAAATGTAACTTCTATTTAAACATAATAAGACCCTTGGTAACTGTACCTGCTGTTCAGGAGCTTAACATATCACATCACATTCAGTGGGCGCATTACCCCCCGTTTGCAAAAGTGAACATACTTATGTATTTTAAATGTTTTTTTTTTTTACTCGAAACGTTATCGGTCCTATGCGGGACCACGATAGGAGCGGAGGTTACACACCACGAGAAAAGACGTGCAAAAAACACAGATCAATACGATCCTTCCAATATATTTTAATATGAACTTCAGGTACCACTGATCGAATGCCTCAGACAAGAGAAGCAAATGCAGCCCTATTTCCAGTAGCCACCACATGTGCTGGGAACTTGTTTCATTCCCACAGTGTTTGCAAAAAAGAATTAGCTTCTAAAACAATCCCGAGATATAAGGATTGCTTTAAGTTGCAACTCTTTTTGGGTCTTTGCGGTCTTTGCGTACAACGTCGAGACTCACCTGAAGTCCGACGCCTTCCAGCGTGCTCGACAGGAAGTGGTCTGGGGAAGGAAAGCGGGGATTGGATGGTGCCCGGCGGCCATGACGGCGATCCCACCTATCTGCAGGGTGACGCGGCGCCTCGGTCTGGATACCGCGAGGTCTCCGTCGTCGTCCAAGGCAAGATCCCCGCCGCACTCTTCTTCGACGTCTTTACCAAAGGCGAACCAGTCCACCAGCAGCCGCGAGCGCCCCACTGCAAGGTCACCGCACCGGATGTTGGTTAGAGCAGTCCATAAATAAAGTAACTGGACATGGAGTTTGTACAGCTCGTGCTGACAGTCGCCAGAGGGTAGCCCAAAGCACTGCGCCACCATTAAAGCCATTTATAGAGGGCAAGCTTACACTGTCCAGATTTAAGTGCCTTCGTACGCACATGAGCTCTTGCAGAGCGGCGACACCTCAGCTATTTTTACAGAATAACATACAAAATACAAAACAACAAAGACAATGTCAATGAATATAAAACCGTGCCTGTACGCACGCTTCGGTCAGGGGCACAGGGGGAATAATAATTTGCTCAATGATTTGAAATTCATTTTATTCGTCATTTCGACCATTTTTTGTGGCAATCGGATTCAATCTAATGTAACAAACTGTAATGGGTAGTTGAGAAAATGATTACTATACCTATAGGACTGTTCAATGGGTCAATTTGTGAGAATGATAGGGTCTGGCAAAAATGCAATCAGTGATAACTAATAACCATAGTCTCTAAATAGCTTTTAAATATTGTGCACAAAGAGGAAGTGGGGGACAACCCAAAAACTCTGGGTCCATTTCTTCACTGATATGCGCAAGCAAGAGCAAGTTTTAATATTCTCGTCAACGAATCAAACGAGAAATGTAGCCCCTGTGCCTGTGGCAAATATCCGGTTAGAGCCTGCTTATAGGCGTCTGCAAGTACGGCCTCTGGGCACCACCATCTTGCTGCTGGCGTGTGTAGATCATCCGATAGTCAAGCATTGCTAAGGCGTACCTACGGTTTCCAGACTGGTGCCCAAACAAAGCATTTTCCATCCACGGTGGCCAGACTAGCTTTCAAAGCGCGGCTGCTTGCAAACCTCTATAGAAAGAAAATGCATACGCGTCGCAGTCACACAAAACGCATATTGATGGCAATAAAAAAATAAAAAAACATGACTTGTACAGTTGCTAAGTTTGAGATGTGTGTGTACGCCATTTTTTTTTTAATCCTTTCCTTGTACTGGGTTGAAGTATGGAAATATTTAGAGTTTTTATTGACACATATTTAACACATTTAAGTTTTGTTGAAGTTGTAAAAACTACTACCCGATATACTTTGTTTCAGGCAGACAGACTGCAACTTCTCCACTTTCTTTTTCTGTCTCATCAGGCCTTTATGTCTGAAATTTTCTGAACACGAGAAAACTGGGTCATTTTTTAACCGCGCCTGGGAGCAAGACCACATCAAACTTCAGGCACGGAGCAAAAAAAGAAAGGGTGTCTTGAAACTTGTCTTTCTTGTTCCCTGCCATTTTCACACTTCTCTGTACACCAGAAAAGTTCAAAAAGCGGCATTTGTATTTTTTTTTTTCTTTAAGATTGAGTGGTCAACATGTCTGCACCTTGTCAATGTAACAGCCACCGATGCTCTGCAGCTGTCATTTCTAGCTATGGAGGCAAAAACTCACATGTAGTTCACAATTCTTTTTATGCCGTTCAGGCCCCCGATTACAAAACCATAGGCAAGTCTTGTTTTAGCGCACAAGAATCCTTGTGCAATCCCACCCTACGCATCTGCACGACTGCTGAATCAAGCACTTTTTAATGCGTTAGCATTAGTACCCACGTGACAAGGAAAAGATGACGGCGTCCATCTGTGGAGAAAACAGGGAAAAGGGAAGCGCGCTGCACAGAGAGGAGGAAAACAGTGAAGGTCAAAGGTGAGAGGGAGGGGACGTCACGGGGCAGAAGCCAAAGCGAGTGCGGGAAACTGGAGAACAGCGAAAGCAGCGAACGCGACAGAGGAGCGGGAGCAGTGCCTGGATCGGCTGGCTGAAATGCGATGCAAAAAGCGGCAAGCTGACGTGGGTCTGCGTGCAACAGAAGCTGCAAAAATTAAAGGAAGATCCATCGGTGGATCCTTAGGGAATGCGTTAGCAAGACTCTTGCAGAATGCCACACACGTCCCCTGTTGGGGAACGCTAACACTGACCCTGTAACAAAGCCAAAAAGAGGCAGAAAAGGATAGAGAAGCAAAAGAGAAAGTCAAAACAAAAAAGTAAAGGGGTCAGCGTTAGCTTTTCCCAAAGGGAGACGTGTGTGGCGCTTCCCAAGGGCATTCCCTAAGGATCCACCAATTGATCTTCCTTTTAATTTTTTCCTTAAAGCATACAGGGGGCCAACAGTGCCTCCAAGGACAGAAGATAGAGTATACCATAAAATACTGGGGAAGTGCTCTCCCACTTTCACTGAATATTGGGTTAATCTAGACAGGGGCACTTCTTCGGTCAAATCGGTTAAAACCAAGATGGTGGCCAATAATGAGCTTTGAAGGCAGAGTGAACGGAATCGGAGAACGTACATTCATTTTCACGTGACATCCACGTCATCACCGCTGGCGGTATTATGGCTGCCGCAACGGGGTGAATATTTTCAATCGATGCCGGCACTTCAAGGGGGGGGGGGGGGGGGCTTAAAGGGGTACTCCGGCGATTTCTTTATGATCTCCGATTTGCCTAAAAATTTGCTAAACACACCAAAAGACATTGCTGAAATAGTAACCATATTATTAAGTCCAAATATTATTGGTTTTTTTTGTTTTTATTCGCAGGGTAATTGAATTTACAATTTGGTCCTGATCGTGCTTTTCAAACCAAAAGTTCGTACCGGCAACGACGAAAAAGTCACGCCAGCGGAAGACAGGGGTTCACTCTTCGTACTGTAGAATTTGTTCCAAACTGATTCCAAGTAGTTTCGTAGTGGCAAACCGATGCTCTGGAAGTTTGCTTTAGTACCCACACACCAGCATGAAACAAGTGCTCAGCACAGTCTATTTTTTAGACTGCCTGCTCGACTGGCAAGCCTACCTGCCACTGACGTCGCAGTACAGAAACGTGTGGGTGTATTTGAATGCTGGTTTTTGCATCATTTTCATTTGCCGATTTCACAATAACTAGTCCGAATCTGGCGATGCTAAATAGCATACCGGAAAAGGAAGAGGCCGAGGATTCAGAAAATATAGTCAGTTAGGCGGCTCAAAAACTTGCTGGAGTAACCTTTAAGGATATAATTTGCAGGATTCCCAAGTTTGGAAAATGTTAATAGTGGGCGCTTGTACAAAGTGAGCACTTTCGTGGTATTTTACGGTAGACGTTCTTCGTTTCCTAAACTCTTTCAGAACTTTGCTTCCCTCCGTTCAATGCACAGAGCGGTCAACAATCTGAGCACTTTCCGCTGTATTTTACGGTAGTCTTTCTTTGTTTCCTGAACACTTTCACAACCTTGCTTCAATGCACAAAGCAGACAACAATCTACTTTGTGTCTAGCATAAAAGTCCATTCATTCGTTTGTAGGATTTTATTTCGTAATATTTTGCATCTGTAAACAATCACTGTCGTAACATTTGTGGTCAAACAAACCGCTACATACGTCACACACAAAAAAAAACAACTGTGCTGCATCTGCCTATTCCTTCCATTTGTTCCCTCACCTTTTCGCACCATTCCCTCTCGCTCTTAAAACCATCACCGTTGTAACCCAAAGCAATAAAGGTCAGTCCTCAGCTCAATACCAAAGTGAACTGTACAGTGCAGCAGAAAAAACAAACAAGTTGTAAAATAAGAACAAATATTCAATAACAGGCACAACGTTGGATGTCGATGAGTGAATCACTGACGGGCTGCCAAATTCCCCCTTAATTTCCAAGCTCTTTGGTAGCGCTCAACTTCTTCTACCTTTGTGCCAAGTACACTTTTTTTTTTCAACTCTTTCATTTCATTTTTTAATGTCCACGTTGATCTCTCGGCCGAACTCGTCCAACATCTTTGCAAGATATTTCTGTTCGTCCATGCCCATAAACTGGCCCCGGAAGTGGCAAAAAAATTGCATCACAGGAACCGACGTGTCATGCTGTCGAGTGTCTGGATCCTGGCGGTTGGTCCCAGAAATGATGGCAAAAAAGACGAGGGCGGCAGACATATCTGTCAGGGACGAGCTCTGAGCAACAACCACATTTTTAGATGTAAAAACATAGGAGAAAAACCAAGACAAAACATTCACACAGCCAATAAGCACTCGTGGTGTTGGGCACCTCGTCGGTAATGTGACAATTAATATTAATAACAATATTAATATTAAAGAAAAGTGACAATGATATTCATAAATTCATCGTTTGATCTTTTGACACAGCATCGGAGGGCACACTGCCAACCAACCGACTGTGCTCGATAGTGTTTGGAAACATTCAAGCAGCCGCCCTGTCACATTTCCCCCTAGTGCATCATCCCCTATTTAAAATGGACTCCACACCTGCAAAAACAGCCTCACCGACGGTATCGCATCCATCACGTTCCAAGCACTCTACTCTGCGCTCCAAACAGCATCTGTCACGGCTGCACACTCCCCAATTGAGGGAGGTGCCAGCCATCTGTCGCACTTTATTTATCACTCTTCTTACACTTTTGAATTTTGTTTCCAGGACCATAAATCTGAAGGAATTTCTTTGTTGCAATTTCTCAGATGCAACTGTAACTTCGGTGCTCGTACATGTAATGCCTAGAGGTTTGCTTAGAAAGCTGAATCAACGAATGGACACGTGACGTGCTTTGCTTCGGAACGGCACGAAGAATTGAGGGATGGATTGCAACGTGCGAATATTCCGTAGCCCAGGGGTTCAGAAACCGGGCTCCAAGCATGCGAAAGGTTCACCAAAAAAATCCTTGTAGGTACCTTGAGCTCACAAATTCCCCCGATCATCCCTCCCCGAGATTAAGGTGTTTCCGCAGTTTGAGTACTGTTTTATAGTAATAGATCAAAGACGCTCGTCGATGAACAAGGAACCATTTTTGGAAATCGGCGGTTCAGGAGGTTCTGGGACGAAAATAGGTGAGCACACACTCGACCGAGGAACCTAGATCCTTCTAGCTTCAGTGAGCTGCAGTGACTTAATTAGATTAGGCTTTCCCAAAGTCTCCTTGGTGGTCTTATCGCCCCCAAGTTCGTTCTAGGAAG